TATTTCTTTAGTATGGCATGATAAATTTTTTAATTTTTTTATACTGTATTTTGGTAATTATATTATTATTAGTTTTTACAAAAATTACATTTTGTATTTTTTTTTTTTTTTTAAACACATAAACAAGTATTTAACAAATTTTAAACATTTAATTTTAACTGAAGATGACTAGTCTTAGTTTGGATATATATATATATATATATATATATATATATATATATATATATATATATATATATATATATATATATATATATATATATATATATATATGTATGAATGTATGTATGTACGTATGTGTATGTATATTTTTATGTATATATATATATATATATATATATATATATATATATATATATATATATATATATATATATATATATATATATATATATATACAGTATTGGCCATTAATAACAATCCATCATGTTATTTTAGTATGAATATAAGTTTGAAATTAAATATTTTATAAACTAAAAGTGATTATTTCCTATTAGAACAAATCAAATAATCGCAATATAAATTTATTATAAAGTGATAAAAATTTAAAAATTAAAAACTAAAATATTGAAATTAAAACAAGTGTTCATTTGCATAAAAAAAATGTGGCCAAAAAAAAGAATGTAACATTATCTTGTGGGAAGATTTCCATGTCTTTTGGGAAAATGTCAATAGAAGGCATCAAATAATTATCCAATGTGTCTAAATATCTTAAAAAATCAAGCCTTGCATCAAATAATTTGAAACAACCGACACCGTCATAGTTCATGTAGGTCCAGATGCCTATACTACCACTACCATGTTTTGTTCTATTCATAGAACAATTTAGGTTCATTTTGTAATATTGCTTCTTTCTCAGCATTACTTGGTTTTTTCTTAAATCAACTTCAACGTTTATTTCATCTCTAAAAAGGTTGTTTTGCCACATGCTCATAGACCAAATTTTATGAGCTAAACACCAATTTTTAATTATTTTCGCATGTTGTATTAATAGACATAGTTATTCGCAAGCAGCTAGCCACATGTAGTTGTGTTTTTGTAGTACTCTTCTAATTGTTTGAACACTAGCAACAACACCAGAAGCTTTTTGTCTTTTTTGACTCAGTTAGGTCAGTTATTGATTATTATTATTTTTTTTTTACTATGCGAATAAGTGAGCATTCAATTCTTTAATTTGAAATGCTGAGTCTTAAAGGACATATAAGATTTTGAATTGTATTGTACCTTTAATATCAGCTGATTATTCTGCTAAAAGTGGCATGTGTTATGTTAAAATGTTTTGCTATTTCTCTCATTAAGATGTTTTGCTCTTTTATTACTATTATTTTACATTTGTTATCAATAATTTTTCCAGTCAATTTGATTGTTTTATTGTTGAAATATTGTAGTTAATTAGATGCTGATTTTTCTATTTCATTTTACGCAAATTTTTCAAATATTTATAACAATTTAAATAAAAATTCTCAATTAATTATAAATAGTTTGCAAATAAGTACAAGTTTTTAATCTATGACAAATGAAACTTTGAAGGAGGTTTAAAATAATACAGTGGGTTGTTAAGTTTGGCCATAATAGTTATTTTAGATTATGAGATATATGTCAAAAATATGCAATATAATTAGCACATCAAATAATATTTTTATAAATATCTATATTTATTTGAAAAAAAAAAAAAAATAGAATGCTCATCAAAATACATTTTTTATATTTGTAAAGAGTCAAACAATCATTGGTTTAATATCAATCAAAGTGCAATGATATAAAAAAAAACATGCTGGATTGTTATTAATGCCCAATAGTTTTTTAATGTCACATTTTATCCATAATGGCTGCTTAAAAAATGTAAAAAATTGTTTGCAGATATAAAAAGTTGATTTTTGTTGGGTCAATATACAAAATTAGCAACTTAAAAAGTGAAAAGGCATATCTTTTTCGTTTCTATATATGGTAGCCTTCCTAACATTTAAAAATTTGCTGATAACATATGATTCAGTAAGAAATAATGGAATCCTAAAAATGGCTCCGGATAAAACTTTGAAAATTGTGCCTTCCTTTTAAACCACCGGTAACCTAGGATCAACACTGATTTTCATTATAAATATTTTTTTTACTGATTTAACAGATTTTATTAAAGTGATTTCAGAAAGAACATTAGTAGGTACTCATGGGGAAGTGATAAAATCAGAGCAATTAAGTTGGCACAAAATGCATTAAAAACGATAAAAATATAGGTATTAATGTACTTTAATTTTTATTATCTACTGCAACGCAAAAATATATATGTATAAAGAATATCATAATCATTACTAGAAATAAATGCATGAAAATAAAAATGCGCAAAATAAAAATTGAACATATACATTTAAAAGCTTAGAAACAAGTTTATGGGTGTACTTTTTATCTTTTAAAAGTCTCAATCCAAGTCGATAGTAAAAACATTTTCAAAAAAGATTACTATTACTTAATATAAAAGATCTTTATTTACAGTTTGTTAAAATTTCCTTAGATGTCAAGATTGGATTTTCTAAGTTTTGCAAACTTAGACCAAAGTGGTGTATTCTTGGTAGACACTTGGTAATAAGCAACTGGGGTTGATATTTGACTGGGGCCAGGGTCAGGTTTGATAAATTATAGCCGGGGCAGGAGCCGGGTTTGTGACCGGGCTGCATAAATATTTATACATCCTAAAGTATATATTTTTTATTTAAAATTCATATATAAACATCATTATGATCAACATGGTCATCATTACCATCATGATCATGATCATCATCTGATCATCTTCTCTTTCAGCAAATACTACATCATATTAATACTAAAGTTTATAAAAATATGAAGAATATTGTATGCCAGCACCTAAATAAATAACAAACATATATAGTTACATCCATAATATGTATGCATAGAACGCATCTTGGAAGCTTTTATTCCTTCTGGAATAGAAGTTTAGAAGCTTTTATTCCTTCTCTTCAATTTTTAGTAGAGCCTCAATCTCACATTTTTCACCATCTTGAGCAGTTGCTTTATTAAACTTTAATCATTGTTTAAATCTTTTTTACAAAAACATCTCTCTTTTTGCAAGAATAACTCTCTTAAGAAGAAATGTCCTTTTCTTATTCAAAGAAGCCAGTGTAAATCCTGCCTGATGTTAAGCTCTGTTATTCTCAGGTTACTAAATCTTGTATCTTATCTCAGATGTTAGGTTCTAGAGACTTTTAGTTAGTCTTCATCAGTGTCATTAACTAAAGTAAGTCTAACATTTAATCTCTAATTCATGGGTCTGATCTTTTTATTTCTCCCCTAAATAAAGCAGAGTTATTTGCAAATCTTACTCTAATTTGATTCTTGAATATATTGGCCATACTCTTCCTGCCAATTAAACAGATTAACCCATTGTTAAACATCCAAATCACTCTGGCTTCAAATGCTAAAGTTAATTCGCAATTAAACACTTCTACAGTTTGTGCTCCAGACAAGATTTTCATCATAGTCTTAAAAAAGTGTTTTCCAGAATTCTCTTCAATTTTTGATAAATTTTTAAAAAGTGCTAAGTGGTTAAAAAGTTTTTAAAAAGTGCTAAATAAGTAAATAAAGTAAGTGGTTAAAAAGTAAGTGGTTCCAGTTTTTCAAAACTCTAGAGAACACTTTGACCTCTCTAACTATCCTACGAATAGTCTCCATTCTGTTATTAGTTTCTTTATATAAAGGTTTTGAGATTAATTTATTTATTTCTAGCTGCAGTATTTAAGTTATTGCTTACACTCTTCTTTATTTCAAGTAATTTTAAGGGTACTGCAAGGTTTTAATTTTTGCTCCTGTATTGTTTCTTATCTACAATATTGATCTTCATGAAAAGTTTCAACTTAATACTCTTGTCTCGACAAAAAAAATTTAACTTTTTGGTTGCTTAAAAGAAGCAGCTAATTTTTAATCTGATCTCTCTTCTGCAACAGCCCAAGGCTTGCAGTGGCATATGGATTTAAATTCTGGGCTTGAAATTCATAATTTATTAAATTCATCGTATTGATGAATACCAATCCTCTTCCTCTCAAACAAAGTCTTAAAGCACATTGTAAATGTAATTAGACCTGCTTAATCTGCTAAACTTAAGCCACACTTCCATTGTTGTAAGGTTGCATTTCTTTCTTTTTTCTACAAATACTATCATGATCAATGCTCAAACGAGCTATCATCTCTATAATGGTAAACCAAAACTCATTCTTGCTTGGTTTCTTATTCAACAAATTGCATAAGATTTTAGTTGCTGTATATACAGGCTTGGTCGAGAAGCAGGAGCAATTGCTCTCGAATACTGACCAATAATATTTAGTTGCGAAAAACTGGCAAGGTTTTTTAGTCATTTTGAGAACATTTAAGTTTATGTATGTAACAATAAATTTTTGTTTTATGGACATACATGGAAGCATACATAAACTTGAATGTCCTCAAAACATCTTAGTTCGTAAGAATAAAAAGAATATTCGCAAACACTAAAAATGCGCCAAATCTACGAACAAACTAATTCTATTTGTTTAAAAATTATGCTGACTAAGCAAAACAAAGCTCTAGAGTATTCTGTTGAAATAATTTTAAAATTGTATTATTCACATTTTGTTACGTTTTGACATTTCTAGCCAAAATTGTTTTAAGAATATGTTATCAAACAAATGTTAATACTATGACTCATTCTCTTAGCCATATCTGCAAAGCTGTAAATCTTTTGAACTATTATTATTTGTTTACAAAAATAAATGTTTTATATTATAATATAAAACATTTATTTTTAAAATATGATATATATTTTAAATTGAAACAAGCCAACAAAACCTTTAAAGGCATTTCTTTTTAATTTTGTTTTTTTATTTTTATGAGAATCTATTGTAATTATTTTAATAGTTTTAATATTATTAAAAAATGTATATAATAGGTTCTCATAAAAGTATAAATTGCTTTCTTTTATACAATTTTTAATTTTTTTTTCATTTTCTATTTCATTACAGAATGGTTTCAAATGTCATTGCATGTCAGAATCACACCAAAGGCAGTTACTACTTTTTGCTGAAAATCCTCATAAATATCTTGATTCATTTTCAAAGTAAGTAAATGACCCTATCTCTTAATAATTAAAACACATCATCTGTAAGTATGTAAATTATTGTTATTTCTATTCTCCAAAAGTTAATTAGATGATCTCTAAGTAAATAAAAAAACATATTTTTGTGTTTCAAGACTGTTACTAATATTAACAATATGTGTCTATGTTATGTATATTAGGGATTATTAGTAGGATCTGATATGGGGTTGGGTATTGGTATAAGAATGATTACTAAAGTATTTTTTGTTCTATAAAATTTTTTCCAAAAAAAAAATTGTTTGCATAATAGTTTTTTAACACTATATAACATTTATTTAACACGATATAGCACATTTATCATTCACTCTTATCATTCATCCCGTTTATCTTTAGTTTTATCTCAGTTTTTATTACATCTTGCTGATGTTCTGTAGCACATTGATATCCTTATTTCACTCAATAAACTTGTTGTGTTCTTAACAAAATTCTCAAAGCTTTTTCCTAGAGCTATATTATATATTGTCTTTTTCCTGGAGCTTTATTATATATTTAATCTTAAACAAGATTTTTAATTTTAAATGTCACTTTTATTTCTCATTCCTTTTTTTTTAAAGATTCTTGGTTACCTCGTTTTTTTTTTCTAACTTATTGGTTGGTTTATAATATAATTAATACACACAACAAAAAATATTTTTTTTCTCTGTTAATAAATATATAAATGTTGTATTGCAGTTATTTGAAGCATGTGATTACGAAATTGAGCGTAGATTTTCAATTTTCAATTTATTTGAATCTTTTTGAATCATAACCTGGATGAATAATGTTTTTTTTAGTCTTTATTGAATGACACTTGCGCTTGCACTTGCAATGACACTTGCGCTCAACAAAAGCTTAGCTGTCATTGTTTTCAATAAAATTAACAGTCACTTTTTCACTATTATTTTTCACATTAGTTCACTTTTTTTTGACATTACTATTTTAATTTTTTTATATAAATTAAGTGTCACTTTTTAAAATTATAGATAGGACTGTATTGTGCTGCTAACTGGTACTATTTATTCATTCAATTTTTAAAATAGTCTGTTAATAATTTATATTTGTTTTATCAGTATAGCCCTAGATATATATTCAAAAATAAATATTCTTTTTGAGTATTTATTTTTGTATATATATCTTTAAAAAAAATCAAATTTTTTAATTTAATATTGTTTTTTTTTTTAGGGATTTTTTATTTTTTTATTTGGAATTTAACTAACATATATTAATAATATATATTTTTATATATGAAAATTTTTAAATTTTTAATGTAGTTAACATTTTATTGTTTTTTAGAGAATTTTTTGATGATTTTATATATCTGCTTTCAAGAAGGTTTGGTATGACTAAATTTTTTTTTGCTTTATATTTTTGCTTATTTGTAAAAAAAATATAGCAGAAAAGAGTAAACTGTAACAGTAGTATAAACTTTCCTGAGTGAAAACAAAATCCTTAATACAGCAAGAATCGCAAAGATATCTTTGTGATTCTTGCACAAAGATACCTTTTATAATGCATTTGTCTAAAATTACACTCTATTATTTATTGTAATTTACGGCAAGCATCATTAGGCATTACAAACAGTGAAGACTGTATACATTAGCCAATAATGTGACTATTATCAAAAAAAAAAATTTTTTAAATTAAAACCTGAAAGAAAATAATTGAAAAACTTATCAACGTCTATATATAAATATTTCATAAAAAAGCATCTTGATCCTATAGATACTTTCCTCAAAAAAGCATTGTTATTTAAGAAAAAGTAATATTTTCACCGCAAAAAAATAAAAACTAGGTTAACAAAAAATCGTTGACTTCAGACACTATCAGGTTGGCAGTTAAGCATTGCCGACCCTAGTTTCAATGGCTGATGTAGTATGTAGAAAAGTATGTATTTTGTTATTAATAGTTGATGTAATTATTTTTAAATAAACACCATTATTTTAATTGACTAGTATAAGAATTTCATTAGAAACTATATTTTTTATCCATTTATTTAGCCATAAAGTTGAAAATATATATATATATATATATATATATATATATATATATATATATATATATATATATATATATATATATATATATATATATATATATTTATATATATATATATATATTTATTTATTTATTTTTTTTATTTTTTTTTGTTAATAACTTATTAAAGTTTTTTATTTTCAAATTTATCACAAACATTTTATTTTGTTTTTTATTTTTCTCTTTTATCTATTTTTCACCTTTTTACAGTTAAAAAAATGCTTCTTCCATTTGTGATGTCATTGCAAAGTGACATTTCACATCTGCCATTCTTAACCATTAAATAAGTATTTAAAAGAATAATATGTTCTTTGTAATTATTTTTTTGTAAAAAAATTCTTTAAAATTTCTCAAATTTTATTAAAGAAATTTAAATAAATTTAAGCATATTTAAAAACTGTATAAAAAAACGCAACAACAAAAAACTATAGAGTTTTAATAGTTTTCTAAACGCTTTTTAAGTTTTTAATTTTATATTTTTAATCAAAAAAAATTTTAAAAATAAAATAAAAAAATTAATCTACACAAACAAAAAAATTTTTTAATATGCGATATTTTTTATAGTTTTTTTAGCTTAGTTTGAAAATATGGCTAAATCTAAGAGATAAAATAGATAAATGCATATTTAATAACTTTAATAAAATTCTTCTTTTATAAACAGTTTAAAAATTTGTTTGTTTAAATTTTAATTACTTAACACAAAAACAATTTTATAAGTATCGAACTCTTTCATTCAAGTTTTAATTACAAGTCTTTTCATATAATTAGGGAAAGTGGGAGCATAACCCCCCCCCCCCCCCTGTAATGTTTGAATTGATGTTATGAAAATAAAAGCGAAATGTATCTTTTTAACAGTTGATTTTAATAACCACATTATTAAGCTTTAAATTGCTGCAATTAAGAAAAAAATAAAACGGTTTTTAAAAATAATATTACACAAAAAGTACACTTTGTGAAAAAAATGGTTTTGCCCCCATTGTGAGGCACACCCGCACCCTCACAAAAATCGTTGAAGGTACACTTTTCATGGTACATTTTTTTTAAAATTAGGAAATGCACAATTATATACCTATAATATATAATAATGTAATAATCACCAGATAAATATAAAAAGATATCGATTTATACTCTTAGCTTTATATTTTAATCAAAAACTCATTTATGAAAATTAAATAAAAACAAAAACAAAATCTAATTTCCAACAACTCAAAACAAAACTACTTCTTTTCAAGTTTTTACATGAATGCATTTAAGTGTGACGATTGTATATATTGTTATTCATAATTACGTAAAAGGTATACAGTTGTGCCACCTTTCTTCCTCAGAGGAGTGTTTTTAGAAAGAATAGCATAGCTTGCCTATAAGGTTATGTTGGTATCAAAAATGGTTTTCATTTGATGAAATAACGCTGATATATCTTTAACACTAAAATAGAGTGTTGCCTAATCCTCAAAAGAAAGGTCTGGAAAAATATGTTGTGAGTATAATATTTTTATCAAAATAAACATTGTTATGCACAAGTTATCAGATACGTATCAGGCACTCTTTTTGACATAAGCGAAATGAAGGAAACTGTTTTACCAACACATGGTATGTTTTTTGCCATATTAGATAACATTTTTTAAAGGGAAATGTTAAAAGACTGTTGTGTCTCCATATGCGGTTATGTCGCCACTTCCCCTTCTTGCTTTTTTGCTTGGAGCTATTTTAGTGTGATTTTTAAAATTTTCAAATTAAAAAAATTATGAACAAGAATAGTAGCAAATAAACTTTTTATATTAAAAATAGAAGAAATGCAAAACAAAATATATTTAAAAAATAAAAAAGTCACTTAGAGTTAAAAAATTTTGGTTGAATAAAATGTTCTTTTGAAACAAATTTTCTAGAAAACGTTATGCTTGGTTAAATATCAGAAAAGCAACTGTTGCTGACAATCGTTTCTCTGATATATTTACGATATATTTATATGATACAAAAAATTTCAGTGTAACTATCAAAGTTATAATTAAAATGTAATCAATTTTCATAAATTTTTTTTTTTCTCCTGAATTTTTTTATATAAGGTGGATCCATGGTAAAAAAACTAAAATCTTTAATACTCTTGATTCTAATTTTTTTAAATTAAAATATGAACAAAAATATAACTGTGAGAAAAAAATTTCTTCAAAAAATAATACAAAGCTATTTTAACATGCTGAGTCAGCATAAAAATACACAAGAAGTGAGTTATGTAAAACAACTGTTGCTTAAAAAGTACTTATGCAATCAAGTTAAAACTTTTACAATTTAGAGAAAACATATTGATAAAGTGCCTGAACTAGGATTATTTTATATTTTTATGTACTTTTAAAATGGCTGCTATATTAGTAAATATTCCAAATATTTGATTAAAAATTGATAAGGAAATATAAATTTTTCAATAAAAAAATAATTCTGTTGAAGATCCTAGCTTAGGCACTATTTTAAAGTATAATAAACAACTCCTGAAAATTTGAACATTTAACTATATGCGGATCTAGAGCTAGAGTTGTTCTAAGATTACTACATTCAAAAATGCAAAAAATACAGAAAAATGCAAAAGAAATTTAGTATTTAAAAACTTCCTGCAGAATATGACTCTTAATCTTCAGTTAACAATTTTAATATGTTAACATGTTTAAATAACTTTTCATATCCTAACAATCTATCATTGTACGTTAAAACAGCTGATGCTAAACAAATTTCTAATGTTTGTTTTGAAACAAAATTGTTCTTTGGGCATTTTTTCCATATAGTTTGGATAAAAGCTTCATTAGGATTTTGGGTTGTACCATCTAAGCACTTCAACAACAAATCATCTGCAGACTAAGATCAATAAATATTGGTTGCTTTTTTATAATAAGAGACAAACTAGTACAGGGTTTATATGTTTTGACCAGTAATTAAATCCCTCTGCCATTTGCACCAACTACTTAAACTGCGAGGACAAAGTTTATGCCCTTCAACACTGTTAGGATTGTCGCTGCAATGTGGCATTGCAGCGACATTCCTAATTTTATTCCGATATTTCATTCGATTAATTTTCTTATTTTATTTCTTTTGTAAGCCATTTATACTGTTCAACTAACAAAATATTTTCAGTCGGGTTTTTAAATATGCTAATTTAATAGTTTTGAAAAAACTAACTCAATAACTCTAACAACTCACTCACACAAGACTAAATAGTTTAAGTAATTTACAAATAAAACAATTCAAATATAAACAACAGAACAGTTAAAAGCATAGAATATATATATTAAGTAGCACAAACTTTAATTACTTTGATTTTGTAGATGATAAAAGATAAAAATTGACAAACTGTTTTGGTTGTTATGCGCGTTGCTATGAACAGCAATTAAGATAAAATGACAAATTTATTATTTTAAACAGTGTTTTAATGTAAACAATGTATAAAAAACACTTTCCTCTGTAAGGCAGGTAGTTTATCTAATAAATACAATTAAAAAAAACAAATTCATTTTTTTGCATTTTTTTTACCATGGATCCACCTTAAATAAAAGTTTACACTGGCAAAATATAGCTCATGCAAATAAACATTTTTTTTTTAAACAGCAAAATTTAATGTTTTTTAGGTTGAGTTGTATTTTACTTACATAAACAAAAATAATAAAAAGCATTTAGCGCATTTAAAATAAAATATCACTTTAATAATTATTATGTAATTATACAATAAACAAAAAGCAAAAAAATGTTTATTCATTAAGTTATTGTGAGTGTCTTTAATGTAAAAAAGTTCAGAAATTAATATTTTTTTAAAATGTTTTGATAATTAAATTTTAATAAACTTAATAAGTTCAAATGACCATTTTAAGAATTTCATTTATATTTTATAATAGTAAATAATTAAGTTTTATTAAATTACAAAAGCTTTTTCTTATAACTACTTCTTTTCTTGCTTGGAGTTTTTTCAATGCAGTTTTTTAATTTTTCAAATTAGGAACGAATGTTTAACAAAGAAGAGTAAGGAAATTTTTAAATATAAAAATAAGAAGAAATGCAACACAAAATAATATGTATAAAATAAATCGTTTCAATAAAAATGCTCATAATTTCTAATAAATATTTGAACTCTTTTCAAATAGAGTTCAAATATTTATTAGAGTCAAGAAATGTTCCCCTTATTCAACATTACGTTTTTGCAAGTAAATCTGAAGATCAAAGGCAAAATGCGACTCTTGCAGCAAGAGAGGAGAGAAAAAAGATGCCTACTAATGTTACCAAAAAAATGGTAGTTGCGATAAAAAAAATTTAAAAAATCTAACAAAAAAAAGTATAAAATAAGAATCGGAAAAACTGATATTGTCTCTCTCTGCAACTGATTTGTAATTGTTATTGTTTTAATAAATTTATTTTATAACAAATAAAAACCTTTGTTTTCCAGACTATTAAGTGTTCAGTGTTTTTTTGCTAATTTATTTAATAACTAATGTTTTCCATAAAAAAGAATAATAAATTAAAAAAATTGAGATCAACGTAATCCTGTTACACACGACCTTATGAGCTGAAACTTTAAACATGATTTAAATTTGATATAAATGAGGAATATTGCAAAGTATAGTGTTCATGGATTTTCACTTTTGTTAAAATTTGACACAGGCTAAGATCCATGTTAATTCATTCATATCTAGAAGCATGAAAAGGGTATTAGGTACTGTTGAAACAAAGGAAGCCAAATTACTAAACTTTGCTTGTATGTTAATGCTCATGCTTTGATATTCTAAGTAGTCTAGACAAGACAGACTTTCTAAATTGAAATATTAAAGATCATTTAGTTTTCAAAAACTTTTGAACAATGGCAGATACTGTTTTTAAAGGTGTTTTGGAAGAGAAGAGAGCCATTGGTATACTTTTTCCAGTAAGTTATCAGGTAAGCCCAATGATGGCAATTAAAGCTCTTTCACCAGTCAGTCATTTATTGGTACAATGGCACCATTTGTGCAGGTAAGCCAATTTTTGACATAAATCACCAAAGCAAACTGGAAAAAATCTCTCAGGTTTGGCATAAAAATCTGTTAAACAGTTCAACTGATGTTTGAAACTAAAACATCTTTGCATTGTACAGAAGTATAGTCATACTATATACAGCAGATAAAACACAAGGTTTGTAGAAAATAAATCCATCAGGTGACTTTTCTCATTGCTATTGCTATTATTTTTCAAACTTCAAGGTAGTCACTTTGGTTTGTTTTAAAATTGATCCAGGATAAAAACGCACACATTGATTGATCATTGATCTTCATTGTTACTCATTGAAGCTTCTTTCTATAGCAACTGCAGTGCATGTATCCATTGTTGTTTGCTGCTGTATCTCAGTAAATATCAACAACTATTTTTAAAAAATTCCACTGTAGAAGAAGATCTCGTGAATTATTTTCTGCTTCAGGATTTTTTTTTCCTTCATTTTGAGTTTTTGATACATCAAGGGTTTCTTTCTCTTTTGCTCTTTGTCTTTTTGAATTTAAAGTTGTGTATTGTATAGTTAAAACTTAAAGATTATTTTTCTCTGTATAATCTGTGAAAACTACTTACCAGTTCCTGCTCTTAAGTATATCTTTCTAGTTGATTATTGATCTAATAAAAAACGAATAACTCTCCTTGAGGCAACAGATCAACTTCAATAAATTTGAATTGTTTCAATGGCATCATCAGCAGATTATTTGGAAAGCTTAACTATCTTAATTCTTTGTTATTTAACTTGGAAATTTTGTTATTATAGACAGATTTTGTGTAATCTGCTACTTAATAGGCATTAGTTGAATATTTTTGAATCCAAGGAAATAATCTTAAATGTGCAACATTTTTAAAACACATGAATAGGATGGAAAAGATTTCTAAAAAATCTATCTATTGAAAGACCAAAAAGCTATTTTCTCAACATTTTCTTAATCAATGAGGCAGCAATTGTGTCTTATTTTGGCTTCACTAGACTGATGAGCGTCAAATTATCATCCATTTTGGCCTAATTGATGGGTTAAATTCTTATACTATGCTTTTATATACACCATAGGAACCTTCTAAAACTTTCCTTTTCCTTTAAAAACATTCGTTTAGGTTGAAGAGTTTGTAGAATCTTACTAGAAACTTAAATTAACTTCCAGAACATTTTAGTATCTTTCATAACATTAAAAAGTACTTTTGCCTTCAAAAATGTTTTGGTAGGTTCTAGAATTTTTTAAAAAGTTCCTGAAATATTTTAGTAGGTTCCAAAAGGTTTTATCTTCTATATACACTAGGTTCCAAAATGCATTCTACCTCTACCATTCAGCTGGTTTCAGAATGTTCTATAATCTTACACTATTGTATAATCTTCTTCTAATGAACCTAAAGGCCTATATAATCAAGACCTAGCTTGGATTATAGCGAACCTTTTATTATTATTATTATTTCAACATTTTTGCTTCCAACAAGGCTGCAATCAACTACTATTAGAGTTGGAAGTTACTGGAAGAGAAAAGATGAAGTTTGAAGAGCAAAAAATGATTGACAGACAACTTGAAAGATTGCAAATTATATGAATCAGGAAAGTAATATGAAGAAAGAAAATTCCAAAGAACTGATGCTCGAGGAAAAAAACTGGACAAATATGCGTTTTTGGAGCAAATAGGAACTTTCTCAGAAAAAGGATGAGACTTTATTGAATGAGAAGTAACACAAGATTGAATTTTAGTAGATGGCACAAGAGACACTAACTTTTTAGAGTAGCGCCCATTATAGTTTTTATAGAAAAAAGTGAGAGAAGCAGCATTACAACGATGTGATAAAGGATGTGATAAAGAGATGCAACCTTAGCAGATGCTGATTTTCCAATGGCCTTGATATACGGTTTCCAAGAAAGATCAGAAGTAAAAGTTAATTCTAGAAGATGAAGGGTAGATGACTCATTGAGTACATTACCGTTCACAAATATAGAAAGGTCTAAATTATTGTGATAACGATTGGCTGAAAAAAATTGGGTTTTATCTGAATTAAAGTTCACCTAAATAAAAATCATAAAAAGCATAATATAAATAAAAAACAGCCATTTAAAATAAAACATTACTTTAATGAGTATTACATAAATATGCAATAATAAAAAAAAAGAAGCAGAAAAACCTTTTTTGTGAGCCTCTTTAAGGTAAAAAAGTTTGTAATTAACAATTTTACATCATAGTTGAGAGAAGTAAAAGCTAGAAATGTGACACACAAGTAGGGATGGCAAAAATCCCAGACATTTTAAATCCCGGAATTTTGGAATTAAGAAGTCTTTTGCTGGAAAATCCTGGGATCGAATAGAAAAAAATGCAATTGTAAAAAGTGAAGCATAAAAAGAACTTATGTTTTAAGTACTCGTCAAACACTTAAAAATTTAATGATTTTTTAACTAAAATACTTTGTTCAATAATAAACCTAAGTAATTTAAATTATAAAACAATACCTTTAAATGATAATACAGTATAAATAAAAAGTGATAACTAAAAATAATATATACATGTTATATGTTATAACAAACATAAGTTATTCTTATTTTTGAAAGTACTACCTTAAAATCAAAGCGTCAATCATTTCATTGTTTATTCGTATGCAATTATTTGAACATAAAAACCCAGCGGCTGAGAATGCTTGTTTGGACTCCTGTTAACTGTATAGATAGTACATAATCATGTTTTTTGAAGGTGATCACATCTTGTGTTACCACTTTCAAACAACAGCATTTCTTTTTGAACTTTAAAATTTATACTTCCTACTCTTTTAGGTTGTGTTCTTATTGCTGCCAATCCTTTTTTCCATAACTTTAATTGTTTACTTTAATTGATTTGATTGTGCTTTTTTTTTTTGATCGAACTTTTGACACTCAAAGCAGATTTCTGTATTTCTTTTGCATTTTGCAAAGCTTTTTTCTAAAAAAATGAGAGCTGGATTTTAGAGAAAATAAATAAACATGAAATGTTTAAATGATGAATATTACATAGAAACAAAGAAGGAAAAAATATAGCAACTTTATGACTGAACCAGTCTGAATTATACTTCGAAATCCAGTTTTAAATTCTCTTCTATCACCTTAAAGTTGTTTCTGTCCACCCTGACACATTTGATGTCTTGGCAAACAAGATTAAATCTATTGTTTTAAAACAAAAGAAAAATGAGTTTTCTTTTCCTCCAGAAAATATATGTCGGAATAAAAACATATTAGTAGTTTACTTGGATTGTACAAATACAACACTACTTTTACTTTATATTACAGAAAATTTGGAAATTTATATGTAAAAAAAAAGCCTTGTTTTTTTTTTTTTTTTTTTTTTTTTTTTTTTTTTGATTTTTTATTGCTTCTACATTATCATTTAAGGAAGAGGAAGGAGCGGGGGGGGGGGGGGATTATATGAATGATTATAAAAAAAATAAAATTTATTCATCACAGAGGTAATATCTGCTAGAACAGTCTTGGTTTCAAGATTCTGAGCAATTTTGAATTTTTTATCATGTATATATAAAATTTAGTTTTAAAGTTGTATGCACCAGCCTAATAATACTTGTGGTAAGTTTCAAAATGGTGAATACTATAGATGTTCACCAATAAATATTGAAATGTTTATCAAAAAATTTGTCAAAATTAAGACTTAAAAGAAAGTAATCAAAAAAGGTTATACACAATGATATATAAATATTTCATAAAATAATCAAATTCATCATATAGATATATTTCTTAAAAAAGCATTATTTAAAAAAGTAATAATTCATTGCAACAACTAAAAAAATAGTTTGACAAAAAATTGCCAACCTCAGACACTCTCAGATTGGCAGCCCTAACTCCAAAGGCTATATGTGGGTGTGTATATAAATACCCTGTTATAAGCATGCATACATGTGTATGTTTGTGTAAATATATATGTCATAATATATGTGTATGAATTGATATAGGTACAAAACGAGTCCATTGTAATATTGTCTACCAAGAGTATGTCGCAGAACGAAACCACACTCACATGAATGCAACACAGTGGGAAACACTTACTGATTTTGTGAAGTGGCTAGGACGAGAAGGTCATTGTGTAGTGGATGAGACTCCAAAAGGATGGTTTATTACATATATTGACAAAGATCCTGAAGTTATTGCAAGGCAAAAGGTATTTTTTAAACATGAACCTTTCATTTTTAAATATGTAAAAATTGGATATAAAAGTTACTTCAGTTATTATAAATTATTTCAGTTAGTATAAATTTGTTTTTCTTTATTTGTATTTTTAAACTAAAATAAAATCCAGTCTAGATCAACCAAGATTATCTAATCTTATTAAAAGATAAAAGATAAAAGACTTAAAATCAAGAGAAAAAATAAAATTTAAAGTAAGTTAATAAAATATAAAATAAGTTAAAGTTTAAAATAATTGACACTTATTATTACTTATGTTTACTTTTTTTTTTATCTTTGTTTTTGAAATTATTTAATATAACTAAAAATTATTAAAAATATATAAATTAAAAATATTAAATTTTAAATAAATTTAAAATATATTAATTAATTTTAAATAATGGCTATTTTTAGCTCTTGCATAAGGAGCAGGTTGTGTTTGCAACAAATCATTTTCATTTTTCTATATTTTAACTACTCGGCTGTAACCTTTTTACTACCTCTAATAGAAGAATCTAAAGAACACCATTTTGTAGTCTTTAGATCAGTTTTGCTTATGCCGAAATTTTTTATCCAAAAATCTTTACAAGAATATAATTTTTCAAATGAAAAGCTGCAACTTTAGAGACCTGGGCTCAGTCACCTGGGCTCAGTCACCTGGGCTCAGTCACCTCATATTGAACAATCTGTATAAAAATAACCCTAAAATAATATTTTTAAAATGATTTCATGAAAATATGTTACAGATTTTTTATTATAATAAAAAATCTGTAACAATTTTATTATAAATGCGGTAGGGTGTAGTGGTAGAACGCTCGCTTCATAAACGAGTGGTTCTGAGTTCGATCCCCACCATGTCCCTGGTAGTACCGCGCTCAACTCGTTTCTCCGCGCAGCGGCCTTGTTCGTCAAGGTTCGTGTTTCAGAGTTATAGAGTTGAGAGAGGGTTATAGCTACAAATAAGTAGCCTCCTCGTCTGTAGTGGCCTTCTCGGCCTTGAGGAGGTGAATTAAAATTATTTAAAAAAAAAAACTTTTACCATACATGCCATGGCTGTTTCAATGTGAGCTTTACGGCTTCTTGTTATTTATTGAAAATAATCGCTTAAAGAGTTTTACTAAAACTTTTATAAATTTTGAAATATTAGAGATATATTTGTTCTGTAAAAAGATTAATAACACCAATACAGTTTATTATTTATTTGTTTCCTATGACGTTTAAGAAATTTATCAAAACCTTTAATTTTTGTCTTTGATTTATCAAAACCTTCTTTGATTTTCTCTCTGTTCATAGACCTTTGGTCTATGAACAGACAAAAATTTTAGTGAGTGATGTATGATGAGTGCATGATAAAGGAGGTGATTAATAAAAACACTGTTTAAAAATACATTTTTTTTCTTCTAATTCTTAATTAAAACGTTTATTGCTTTTGTTCTTTTAAAAGGTGTTATTTTCATGCCAAAAAAAGATGCAAAACTCTAATTTTTTTATTATTTTTTTTTTTTTTTTTTTTGACTTTCTATTTTAATTAAAACGATGAAAATTATAATGCAAAGTACCATTAGTGTAATTAAAAATTATAATACAAAGTAGTTAAAATGCAAAAGTAAGTTATAATGCAAATGTAAGTGAAATTTATAATGCAAAGTACCATCATCAACATTATTAATGAAATCTTCAATACTATGAAGAATTTACTTGTCCTTTGTTGTTTTTAATATATTGAATGTACCATCATCAACATTACTAATGAAATCTTCAATACTATGAAAAATTCAATTGTCTTTTGTTGTTTTTAATGTATTGGCATGCTCGTTTAAGTATAAAATTATATGAAACAGCAGTTTCAGGAAAAAAAACACTTTTTTTTTGTATACGATAGAAATGGAATGTTTGTTAATGATTGCATAATTGATGAGTGTTATCAGAAAGAACACTAGCAAAATATTTTTTTTATAAACAGCTGCATCTATATTGCTCAATATGATCTAATTGTTTTAACAAAAGTCTAACACAAAAATATTACTTAGGGGCTAATTAATTGCTTAATGTTTTTAGGGCAGGCTTAGGTGCTGTCTAATTTCCCAGTTAAAAAAACATTTATATTAATATATAGAAGTATATATTTTAAATTTGTAAAATAATTTCTAATATATAATTATTGTTTTGTAAAATTGTATAAATCAGTTATTCAGGTGTTATTTAGCATGTTCAAAATCAATGATTTAGTTAAGGGGTTTTCTATAAAGTATGTACATATTTATGGGGTAAGAGGTTACCTAAATATATACAAATGAGGAGGAGGGGGTGTTAAAGACAATGAGTATGTATGCAGTTTGCTCTATCTCTAGTTTTGTATCTCTCCTTTTTTTTTTAACCAAAGCATTTAATTTTGCAAGTTTAAAAATCAATATTATGTTATGTCACAGAGAAATGTCTAATTAACTCAAGTTTTTTTTTTTAATGTTTTCAAAAATTTTAGGTTAGGGTGGGGATTTTTAAATTAAAAACTTAAGCAAAGGAGGGAGGGGGTGTTAAATGCATAAAGGTACATACAACAGGGTTGGGGAATCCTAAACAGTGGATTTACTGCATACGTACTTTATGGATGCCCCCTTATTTTGTTTGGAGTAAAAACTATCAATGATTTATTTTATTTTTGTCTGGAGGGGCAAAAATTACGTAGTAATTTATTTTTTTTGAGGGGCAAAAATTACTTAGTTTGATATTTAAAGTTTTTTTTTTTTATGTTTATTTTTAAAGTTGTGTCAGCATTTCTTTAAAGAAATTTATTTTGATCTGTTTATTTTGAGTTGTTTGATTTATTTTGATGTTTATTATCTATTGCCACGTTTGATAAGTTCTTTTAGAATGAATGTTAGCGATTAATTACTAAAAAAAAGTCATTTGATTTGTTTTAACATTTATAATTAGTTTAAACATTTTATAAATCATTTAAACACAAATATTTTTATTCTCCTAATAAATTTGTTTTCTTAATAAATAATTTAATCTTCTTCATAAATATGTTCATAAATAATGCATATACAAAATATTGCATCAATTTAAACAAAAGTTGTTTTAATGATTGTAAAATTGCAAATTAAATGTCAGAAGTTGTAGTCATTACTTAAAATATTTTATTTATAAATACATTATTATTATTTATTGCTTAAAATATATTCACAAAACCATCAAATTGTTGTTTTTATCTCCTAAATAAAGTACTTATTTTTGATAATGCTCGGTATAATGATGACTTATTGGATATGATGATACAATGACTTTTTACATATTGAACAGTCTTCAGATAATTTGAAAGGTATTCTTCTAAACTTTAGTTATTAATGTGGAATCCTTTTCCAACAAATGTAAACCACTAAAAACTGTGTGTTTAAAATTTGCCTGTTTAAAAAAAGGTGACATTTTTATTGTCATTTTGAAATTGAGTTCACCATGGTAAATTTTGAATAATAACCACTCTAAATATTATTTTATTTATTTTTTTCTATTTTATTTTATTTATCTATTATTTTTATATTAATATATTTAGGCTATCCTACTACTTTTTTTTTTAATTAATGTATGTTGTTTTTGTTTTTTACTTTAAATATTTTTTTTTCTGCATTAAACATTAATTCGAAATTTTAACGCAAATAGCTTATTGTGGACTATAATTTATAAAAATAATGTTTAATCTTTGCTGAATTACTTTCTGTTTGTTTTTTGTTAAATTTAAAAGTATAAGAAAAAAAAGTTAAAAAAAATAAATAAATTTAAAAGTATAAATAATAAGTAACAAAATAGTTTAGTAAAAAATAACTGTTTAATACTTAAAGTTCTTTATAAAATTCATTTGTTGATATTTCAACCTGTAATCAAAAAACTGTTCAGAGTATAATATCGAGGTATGAGTAAAATACCCCTACCGCTTTTATTGTAACACTATTTTGAGTTGTTCATATAATCTATACTTTTGTTATTTTGAAATATTTTTCTGTAAAATTATATATTTTTTAAAAAAATATTTCAAATTGTATTTTTTGATATGTCAAAAGATATTTTTGCAGTTGAATGTATGTATATGTAGTACACATTCATAAACTTTATTTTAAAAAAAATTAACTTTTTTTAATGTTTTTAGAGGACATTATTTTTTATTTTAGACAAATCTAATAAAAATTATAAAACCATTAAAATCGTTTTTAATGGTTTCATAATTAAAAATTCATGCACAGAAACTTGTATATGTTTTCTTTATTATTTTCATTAAAATGAAACTGTCAACATCCAGTTTTAATTCTAATAAAAATTTTGTAAATATTAATTAGAATTAAATGAGATCTTTTTCAAAGAAGTAATCAGAGACTTAAAATTTTTAGGCTGCTGAGGCCAAAGTAAAAAAGGAACTTGATGATCAAGAAAGAATAGGTTAGTTCTCTTTAGATTTATAAACTGGTTATAAACAATAACGAATGTAAAAAGTAACTAAATGTTTTAGTGTAAATATTTAGCAAAATTTGTTGAAAAGCAAGTTGAAAGAGCAAAGGAAACACTTGGAGAACCGGTAAGATTTTAAGTTGATGATCTTTTATTAATTGTTTTATTCAACATTCAATGTATGCATTTAACATTCAATGTTTCTCAAGAGTTATCCACTTTACTCTTAATATTTTTATGACTTCTATTAAATGTTGATTTCAAAACATTTTTGACTAATTCTTAAACACTTTTTGCTTGAACAACTTGAAAGAAAATTGTTTATACTTGAGCAATTGTATTGTTCAAAAACTTTCTTTGAGCAACTTTCAAAGAAACTTTCAAAGAAATCTTTATTTGTATTTAATGTAGAGTTTAAAGCTAAATTTATATATGCATATGTGTCTATATATATATATATATATATATATATATATATATATATATATATATATATATATATATATATATATATATATATATATATATATATATATATATATATATATATGTGTGTGTGTGTGTGTGTATAATTTATATATGTATGTGTGTCTATATAATATATATATTAAAAACATTCTGAATGTTTTTATTTTATTTTTTAAAAATAAAAACATTCTGAATATTTTTATTTTTAACTGTAAAACATGCGTGGAGTGTTGCTACATCTTATAGCCTGACTTGCAACAGAGTGCTGCTACATCAACTGACAAATAGCCTGACTCGCAACCGAATGCTACTACATGGACTGAGGGTTTGGTTTGGGCAGACAGTCTATCAAATAATTGAAAAAAGTTTTAAAAATTTTTCTGGTCTTTAAAATTAAAAAAATCCAAAACTGACATTTTATGGTACAAACTTAAAGACGACCATGCAAGAGTGTATATATATATATATATATATATATATATATATATATATATATATATATATATATATACGCACACACATGTGTATATATATACACATATATGAATATTTATACATATATGAATATATATACACATATATGTATATACACATATATATATATATATATATATATATATATATATATATATATATATTATATATATATATATATATATATATATATATATATATATATATATATATATATATATATATATATATATATATATATATTATAACCATCAGTATAGACACAGATTTGTTATGATGATATAATTTAAAGTCAGCCTAAACATATTGGTTTTCTTAGGTTACAAAAAGCTGAACAAATAATAATATCATCAAAAAGTTTCAACATTTAAAATAGACACTCTGTTGCTAAAATTCAAAATGTCTTTGGTTTTCTAACAACTAGTTCAACCAAATAAAGAAATAAATTCCTTAAATTTGAATAAATATCCTTAAATTAGCAATTTCTTTGGGTTTTTTTTAGTTCTTCATTTGTCATTGTTATTTTTCAAGTCATTTGAGCTGCACCTTTCCAACCAGGGGGAACTGTGTAGTAGATGAAATGCTCAGAACATTCAGTATTAATATTAAAGTCTTTATCATACATTATACAAGAGTATTTTGGAATGCAATCTTTCTTGGGTCTTCTTGGGTCAAATCATTATATTTCAACCAGTTTGAAGAAAACTTGATGTCACCAATCTCCGATTTTCCTGATTTTTACATATTGTTATATGCATTATGTAGATAGATTAAATTCGAAATTTCAAACTTCTAAATACAATGGTTCAGAAATTATAGCTATAAAAATATGATACAGTGGCCCCTCTCAATTTACAAATGGTCAAAACAGACTATTTTAGTGCTGTATAACTTTTTTCTTACTTTCAACAAGTGTCTCATTTTTTCTAGAACTATTTTCTGGATAGTTCTCTCTTTAAAAAAGTGGTTTTTATTAACCTCAATTATGGAAAAAATCCTAAAATTCCTAAAATATGCCAAATGAAACTAACTGTAGCATTTTTCTATTAATCCACAAGTCTTTACAGATAAGTTTTCTGGTTAGCTATTGCTGTCTGCAATAAATGGAAAAAATATAGCAAGTTGTTGCAGTTTAGAACTCAAATATATCTAAAAGCAACATGTCCATCTGCCTAAAAAGTCCAATTTTCAGCCATGCTTGTATATTTTTCTAGCCCTTTGTTTTGATCTAAGATCAACAGCATATAAGATCATTAGACCAAACTATCTGGAAATGCAAACATAATTTTGTCAAATTCACACCAAAAATGCCAGTATTTTTAAATAACAGTATTTTTCAATTATAGACGATTGAATGTGTTAAGAACCAGTGCCCCTCTAATCTGTCTACTGGTCTATGTGAAGGGTGCAACTAATTATAAGTCATTTCTTAATATTTAGTATTATTTAATTAGTTATTTAGTATCATTTAATATATATAATCCTTATGCAGTATAATTCTTTTGAACCATACTGCATAAGGATTGGTCCCTTTACAAAATAATGTTTTTTTGCAAAGTTTTTTATATTAGTTAGTTTTGGTGATCCAAGAGGTCAGGCAATATACAAATAATTGGTACCAGGTCAAGATATACATAATCTTAGTATGAAAGGGAGTTTGTTTATTATCATCTTCGTTCCATTAGAATTAAATAGATTTATTGTTTCAAATATATTTAGTGTAATTCTTGTTGTTTCTCAACAATATTTTTTAGGCCAAAATGGTTTAAATATGTAAATAAAACAAATTTCAGCAAAACTAATGAACAATTTATTAAAAAAAGTCAAAAACTTGAGTTTTTAACTTTCAATTATTTGAATTTCAGTTTTTTTAACATTAGAATTAAAATTAATTAACAGAATAACATTAGAAGTAACAAAAGTTTCTTACAATTCTCATATTTTCTAAAGAGGCTCAAATGCTTTAATGTGAACATTATAGTTGTACAAATGTCCAGATAAAGAATATTTACTTAGTAAGATTTACTGAGATGCTTATTATGTTCATCTGTATGTTCATCATAATGTCATACAGTAATTCATCTTTGCTAAAATATATTATTAAGCATATCTATATTTTTAATTACAATATTTTATCTTTGCTAAATAATTGCTGCAATGTAAAATAAGGTATCCATAGCAACCAATTTAAAAATATATCACTATTATATAAAGCACTGATATCATATTAATATTAGTGCTAAATATAATGTGCATAGCACAAAGAAAAAAAACTGCAACTACCAAAGCTTACTGCTAGGCAAAGAAAGGTATCCTTAACAATTAAATTTAAAAAAAAAAAAAATTTATAGGAAGCCTAGATTTCATATTGAGTACTAATGCAACTTAGTGAACATTAAACTAATATTAAATTAGTTGATGTTTTTGTCTCAAAATTAGCTAAGTTTTAAACAAATTATGTTATATTATTTAGTAATTATAAATATCTTGCATTTTTATATTGTTATAAAACATCTATGTAATACTAACAACAAAAAAACATACGGAAGTATGCCATCAAATGCAATTAAACATAAAAACATAATGAGATGTAATGAGATTATATAACAATTTATTTTAGACAGAAGCAACTTTTACAGAGTTAAAAAGGTCTGATGAGGAGGAGAAAGGTATTACTGTTTTGTTTTTCTGTTTTTTAAGAATTTTCCTTTTTTTTTTAACTTTTTTTATTTGCCTAATATTTGAGATTTTTCTCATTAAGAAAGTGCATGAGTTTTTCAGTTTTTAATCTTAGATTGCTTTGCGTCTTTTATTTCATCTAAGTTTTTAGATTTTTTTTTAACTTGGTTACTTCTATTTTGTTTCTTACTTGTTTATTCATTTTTATTTTTAATTACTTTTTAATGATCGACCAAAGGATTTGATGCAGATTCAGATTAGGTTGAGTGTTGGAGTAAACAAAAAGGGAGGAAAATTCAGCTTCAATTTGATTTACTGAAATATATAGTGTACAAGCTAGGTTGTTTTTTGAATCAAAGTGAATGTGTTAATCAAAAAGCATAAGATATATTAGAAAAAGGTTAGTAAGTAATATTTTCGACAACATGAAAGTAAATTCATGGTTACAAAAAAACTAAAAAATAGTTTTAAAAAATTTTATAAAATCTGAAAAGAAGATAGGACAACTTTGTGGGTGAGTGTAATGTTTTGAAAGTAGCATACAGATATTTTAAGGAAAAAAATCAAGCGGTGGCAAGGTTCTTAGAGACACTAGAAAAAATATAGGGGAAAAAAAAACTTTAGGAACTTTATAAGCAAGTTGACAGACAGGAAAGAACAGTTTATTATTTAAGTATATGCAGGCTTAGACAGGAATGGCATGCGATCGCACTCTGTAACTGAACACGCTTATAAATTTTTTTCTTTATAATTTGACCACAGCTGTTTTAATCTTTTAATAATTTAAATGCAATTTAAAAAATTGTTAAATTATGAATAACAATCAATTTTTGACTTTTTCTAAAGTTTTTATTTTATATGGAGGCTTTAAATAAATATGTTAATTATAATGATCGTTTAAAATAAACCCATTTTGTGTAAATTAGATATGTAAATTTTTTTTAGAAGGCATGTATTCTTTGTGATAAATTTAAACATTTGAAACTATTTTTCTGTCTTTCAAAAAATCTTTCAAAAGATTTTTTTTTTTTTAAATACTTTAAATTATTAATAAGTAAAATTGAAATCTTCCCGTTGCAATGGAATTATTTTTATTTGATTTTTGATTTTCTTTTAAATTTTGTCTAAATTTTTTTTTTAATTTTTTTTAAATCTATTACTAAGACTTACTTAAAAATTACTTTTTTAAAAAGACTACATTATTATTTTAAAAAATATTTATACATTTAAAAATATTATATTTTTTTCTACCAAAAAAATATTTTTTTTTTTTTTGTAAGTGTAAATCATGTTTGGTGCAAGCAAAACAAAATAATTATTAACCATTAATTTATCAAATCTTAATCAGATATGGTAGTAACAATAGTTTATAATCTCGCTATATCTCATTTTATATAAATATAATATATTAGTGGGCAGGATTGAAAAGTCGTGTTTTTTCAAAGGAATGACCTTTGTAAACTAAATTGGAAATTAAAAAAAATAATAAAAATGTTTAGAAGGGGGCAAAAATACCTACAAATATCTATTTAATTTTGAGAAAAAAGATTGTTAGTAGAATTCTAAATTTTTAGTTATAGGCATTAAAAACTTGTGCCACGGAAGGAATGATAGGTTCCTTCTATGACACAAGTTTCAATGGCTATAACAAAAAAGTTATTATTCCACATGCAACATCTTTACCTGAAATTAAATAGGTCTTTATAGGTAGCATGTTAGGTATTAATGCCCCCTTGAAAACGTTTTTATATTTTTCTAAATTTCCAATTTGGTTTATAAAGGTCATTCATTTTTAAAAAAAATAATTCTCAATCCTGCCCTAGTATTTTAATATTATATTTAAAATTGTAAATTTTATTGTTGTTTTTTTTTTTTTTTTTTTTTTTTTTGGCTTTTGTTTAGTCTCCCTTTAAAATGTTATGTTTTTAGCTCCAAATAAATTGATTTCATTTTTATAAATCTCCATAATTCAACTAATTGATTATCTTTCTATGCGGTAGGGTTGCTTTTCTATGTGGTAGAGTTGCTTTAGCCATTAATTCTTGTATGCTTTATTTAACAGTTTAAAATTATTCACAAGACATCAAACATCAATAACTTACTTAAATAATGATTTTTATTTTCATTAGTTAAATAAATTGTTGAGTTTAGCTTTTAGCTTGATAACTAAATATAAAACTACCAAATAAGAAATAACAATAAATAAATATCCCCTCTAAATATAAATACCCCATAAATATAGGATGCATTTGAGATATTTCAGTGTTAATATTTTATTAAAATATGATGCTGTATTATTAGAATTTTTGTGTGTGTGTGTTTTTAACTTAAATAATTAATAATAAAATTATTAAAAAATAAAAAAAAGATTTAATCAGATTTTTTTTAAAAATTATTTATTTATATTAAGTGACTTTTATTTTAACAGCTTAGTTAATTGGAATTTTTTTAACAGTTCCTTTTTTTATTTATTTTTTACTTTTTCGGTAGAAATAATAACACCAGTTATATTTGGTCTTATTACCAATTATAGTTATAACTAATTTTTGACCAGACATCTTGTTAATAACAATATGAATTTTTTTTTTAATTGAATTTAATAAAACATTATAAATATATATATATATATATTTTTTTCTAATATTAATTCTATTATTTATTTTTTTTTTTTTCTTGTTTTTTTTTTTCTTGTTGTTGTTGTAGTTGAATTCCACAAATGACATTTATTCTTACAACACAAAAGTCAATTATTCTTACCAAACTGTAATGGAAGTCCTTGCATCAAGTTTTAAATATGTTAATATTTTAAGTTTGAAAAAAGAAGAATAAAAAGGTTCCACAAATATATATTGCTTTCAACTTTAAATAACTATGAATGTGTGTTAAAATAAAATTTCTGACATCGCACTGAAATAGCCTGCTACCCAGGATTTCAGTACATACATCAACTATCTTATAGCCTGCTGCCGCTAATGAGTGCTGCTACATTGATTTAGGGCTTGGTATGGGGGCAGCAATCTTTTCTTTCAATATACTTTGTTTTGTTTTTCTTCTCTTTCTGAAACACTGTATGCTATAAAGATAGGAAAAACTAGAATCAATTTATTATCTAAATATGCTAAAGTAGATGTATATATGTATATGTATATATATATATATATATATATATATATATATATAATATATATATATATATATATATATATATATATATATATATATATATATATATATATATATATATATATATATATATATATATATATAATAGTATCACATTTTAACAGTGACTTTCTAAAGACTTTCTAACCATTAGGACCATCTTTAGATAATTTTAATAGTTCAAAAGTTATATAACTTTACAATTTTTTTTTTTTTTTTTTTTTTGTTTAGTTTTTGACAAATATTGTTTATTATCTATTTTTATCTGACCATTAGCATCATTATTTCAAAATTGACATAATAAGAGTTTTGTACAACATTTTAAAGGAGGCACTTAAAACTTCAAAATGAGTACTATTCATTTGTGAAATTTAAAAATTGAAAATTATTTTGGAAAGTTTTGCTAGTTAACGGTATAACAAACATGTTAAAACTTTTAAAAATCTCAGTTTAAAAGCAAAGTGACTTATGTCACTTTCAAAATAAATGGCTCATATAGTTAATATAAATGTTTATATAGCTTTTTTAAATCTGACAGAACTTTGAATTATTTTTACTAAGTATTTAAAAGCATTATAAACCGTTTGTGTCAGTGTAATGTCAGATTTCTATTCATATACATATTTCTTAATTTTTTTTATACAAATCTAAATATTTTTAAAGTTAGTTAAGGGCAGATTAGGAATACAGATTAAATAAAATTAGGTCTTTATATTAAAATGGTGGCGCATTTTGATTAGAATAATAATTATATTGATAGAAAATACACCTGTCAATGATGTCCCAAATTTGATATACAAGTGAATTTGGTTGTTCAAGAAGCCCTGTTCTCAATTGATTGAAAGGAAGTTTAGAAACATTTTGTTGGTATGAAAAGCTTCCACTACAGTTTAGTAAGAATTATTCTTTTTAATCCTGTTATTTTTTTCTAAGTAAAATATTACTTTTAAACTTAAGAAGTATGAAAAATTTTTCTAACTTCTACTTGTAATTTTATGGATTATAGTATTGATGGATATTATTATTAAGTATAATTATTATTATTGAATTTTTTATATTTTTTATAATTTTTTATACTGTAAAATTGCCTAAGTTCAGTCACTTAAGCTTTGAACATTTATTTATCATGCTCAAATTAAAAAAAAAAAAACTTCTGAAACATACAGAACATGATATTGATAATTGATTTTGTAAAGATAAAAAAATAAAAACTAGTACTCAATATTTAATTTAAAATGAATACATCTACTTTGACCGAACTTTCTTATAATACCATCTTATAAGTTCGGCCGCTATATGAGTACTGATAACGTATCACAAACTTAACATCACAAATAATGAAAACTAATTTTTAAATGTTATATTATTGTAAAATTACAATATAAATTTAGGTAATACCAGTAACTAAGAAGGGCATTGCCCCAATCTCAAAAAAAATGTTCTTTTAGGGCACTGAAAAAATCAAGAAGGAGCACATAAAAAAAGGCCTTTTTAAATATAAGTAGTGGTCTTTTTAATTTTTATTGTAGTCATCTATTTTATTGCTTTGGCCATTATCACATTTGCTACGCCACTGGTACATTTGCTATGCCACTGGTACAATAAAATTAAAAAAATATTTTTCAGTTGATTTAAAATATATTTTTCAGTTCAATATATTTCAAAATTTCACTAATTTTAATTTAAAAAAGTAGTTAATTTTTAAAAGTTGATATTTTTTTTTGTAAATATAGTTAATTTGGTGATTCTTTATAATACTATGATTAAATTTGATCATTCATTTTAATAATTTGCTCATTTTAGATTTCAGCAGTTTGCATATAAGCGTTTTTTTTATAGATTCATATTTACGAACTAATTAAAAATATTATTTGAGGAAAAAAAAATTGTAAATTTTGCATGCTTTTTTTATATATTTTTTTAAATGACTGAAGTTATATGGTGACCAAACTTAGGCGATTTTATGCTATTCTTTTAATTATTATTTTCTTTTTTCAATATTTGGGGTCTGTCACATGTTTTAGGGCTTAGGAGGAACCTTAAGGCAATTATCAAAGTTAAATACTAGTGGTATACCATTTATAGATTTAGTGATGGTTCAAATATATTAGGAATATCCATTCAATATATGCATACTAAATGCACTTAATAATGTATGTATATCTAATGTATATCTAATAGTTTGTTGAATAATATTTGCTGTGAAGTTTGATTAGACAGAATCATTTTGTAATTGCAATATTTCTAATTGTTATAGTGTAATTTATTTCAGTAGTAGCCTAACTTAAAAGATACATCTATATAGTTCTATATATAAAATTCTTTCTGAAGTATAATTGTCTGCTGTGGTCTAAATCATTTTTTTATTTATTTGTTTATTGAGAATAATGTTGCTCTCGCTTACCTTAAAAAAATAACAAGGTTTAAAAAACTTAAAGAGATAAAACATATTTATTTATAAGTATGAAAAAAATTTATTTCTCATTTTATAATTGACAGTTAGTGGGAACTAAATTAATTATTTAATAAAACATCCAATATTTTTTTAACATTTAGTCCAGTTCTCGTTTTGCAAGCCAGGATCGTCAACAAGTGATAAAGTTGTTCGGTAATTTTAATTTATTTTTTTTTAACTTTTAAAAATTAGGAATAAATACCTTCTTTTTTTTTAATTAAGTTCACCTCCCTAAGACTCACCTCTCTAAGATTTCAGAGAGGGCTTTAAATTCATCTCTCTAAGACTCACCTCTGTAAAACTTCAGAGAGAACTTTAATGTTTTTTTTTTTTGTTTTTTTTTGTTTTTTTTTGTTTTTTTTTGTCAATTCTCTTTCAACACTAAACTTCAAAACATGTATTTTGTTTAAAAAGTCAGCTACACACTACTTCAAGATGTAGGGTGTAGGGTGGACACCAAACCTTTTGATTGTGAACAAAAATTCTACCATAAGTCTACTACTGCTTATTTTAAAAATTTTATAATTTTCTTTTTTCTATAATAAAATAATGAATAAAAATAAATAGAATAATTAAAACAGTTTTACATATTGTTTAGTTTGATTGAACAAACAATTTAGATCCATTGAACAATGTTACATATTGTTTAGTTTGATTGACAACATCCATTGAACAATGTTCAGAGTATTTGAGAACATCCATTGAAGTTCAATGTGTTTAATTATATTGAATCATAAATTTTTAATTGATCATTATGTTTATAATGCTTAAAGTTAAAAAAAAAAAACTCTTCAATCTTCTATTTAAAAAATTAGTTTTTAATTTTAGTAATTAAAAATTAAAAAAGAAATTGTAAGAATTGAAAAAAAAAGTTTTCGCGATTCTCACTGTTATCTCTTAACAAAGGTACAACTCTGAAACTCAGTTTAAAGGATCTGCGGCTTGCTGGTGGTAAAGTTTCTTGAACTAAGTGGAGTTTCTCAAAAAGGCTAGTTACATCACTGACTGTGTTTCATCGACTGTAAAATATCAATGTCTTGAAAGTAACTTTCATCTGTTGAATCTTTTTCAATATTCACTAGACTTGCTCCTTGTGAGACTAATTTAAATTTGACCTATTTGGATATTTTTATTATGGGTGATCATCGCAATTAATGATTTGGATCTAGTATTAATGACCTTACTGGCTCTAAAGCTCAAAATTTTTGTGTTTTAAAATCTTTAACTCAGACAGTTAACTTTGGGACTTCAGGCAATTCTAATTACTTTTAATTTTTGATTTGTCTTTTGTCTCTGACCCTAGTTTGTGCTCAGTTATACAGAGCCATAACCACCAGGGGGGCCTCGCCCCTCTCTAAAAAAATTTTAAATTACAATTATTAGGAAAGACATATGTAAAATATTTTTAACAAATATTTTATCCCCTCCATCCTTAGGCTCATATAACCATTAGCTTTCCTAATATCAAATTATGGCTACAGCTCATATATTTCACTTTATTGTCACAATTTTACATTATGGCTGACAGGATCTTTTTAGTTGTGGTATTTTAGCTGATGTCTTTTTCACCCTGCTAAAAAATTGGAACTTCTTTATAAACTCCTGCATTCAGGCAGGCATAGAGACTTTGAAAAAGCTGCTGCAATTTTTTAATTGTATCAATTTTTTTATCTTTCCTACACAAGCAATTTTCTGGAAAACAATTGTCTTTTTATTATTGCAAAAAATTGATGCAAAAAAGTTTTCTCTGGTGCTTAGATCCACTTCTTTACTAAATTTTGTATTTTTCATCCCAGAAATTAGACTCTTAAGATTTTCTGAAAATTAAAACAATTTTTATAATAAAGTCTGCTTTTATTATTTCTACAAAGGATGAGGCCAAACTATTTGTATAGAACTTTTCCTAAAATTCATTTCTTGAATCTAATGACCGCAATTTTTCCATCTCAAAGAAACAGGTTAATCCACTGTTAGGCATCCAAATCACTCCTGCATCTGTTGCTAAATATATTTTTTATTTAAACTCTTCTACAGCTTATGGTCTGATCAAGTTTTCATGCTGTTGTGGTGAAAATATTACTTTTATTAATGCTTTTTTATGAAATATTTAATGCTTTTTTATGAAATATTTATATCTAGATGTGTATAAGTTTTTTATTATTATTGTGTCTCAATATTTATTTGTCTTTTATGCCTATAGTCTTTTCTGTTTGAAATTTACCGTGAACTCTTGTGCACAAAATGTCTAATAATGTTCACATTTTAAAACTTTATTTTATTTGCTATTTTAAATAAATTAAAAAGGCAAAATGAGCGCAAAAAAATCTATATAAAATTATTTAAATAAAATCGAAAAAATAAATGTTTTATTTAAATTCTGAATAAAATAATTGAATAAAAACAGCAAACCAAACATTTTATTTTAATTCTAAAAAAATTATTAAAATATAAACAAATTTAGATCAGATCAGCACAAAATTTCAAAACCCCATTTCTAAATTTTGTGCTGACTTGTGCTGACTTTATGCTAAAATAGTTTTTTGTCACCATTTTTTGCTGATCTTTTTTTTCTTTAAGGCTGTATTTTGGTTTCTTAGAACAAACAGCCGGTCTTGAATATGATCTATAAACAAAACTCAGTTGTGCACTGCAAATAATTATTTCAATATTGTTCAATATTCCTATATTAATGAATGGCAACACTATAACTGAATCCTCAACTTTATGTCTTCTGGTATTATCATTCACCTCTCATAAAGCTATATATAATCCATTGCATCTGCTACAGTTGCTTCTTTTTAATTAAGTTTTCCATTTTCTCATTTCTTGTTCAATTCTCTACTTCTACAAATCTCTTTTTATCCTTGTATAGAATACTGTTCTCATATATAGTTCTTCTAATGAGTTCCTCTCTCTTTTAGACAAGGTCCAAAACCCATTAAATGTTGGATCATCATCAGCCAATCTGCTGTCTCATCATCACAAGCATCTCTTTCTTATCTCTTTCTTATTTTGTACAGAAATATTGTCTCATTTATAATATTTAAATTATATATTAAAACCTAAATATTATGCTTTATTTTAAATACTTTTGAATTTATTTATAATTGTTTCAGTCCGATTGATATACCTAAACTGGCTGCAAAACTACCAATAAAACAAGAGTCCATAAAAGTTTTCAAGGAGTGAGATTTTTTTTTCTCGCATTATTAGATAAAGAATATCTTTTAAAATAAATTTAGTTAAAGTGTTCAAGTTAGGTGTAAATAAAAGTTCTAAATAAAACTTTCTCTTTTTTTTATTGTCTTCTATTTTTTAGAAAACCTGTTAAAAGAAAATCAGCATTAGAAGAAATTGTGGTAAATAGTTTAAAAAAAAAAAAAAAGTTAAAGTTAAAGATTTTATTTAAAAATAAACCTAAAGAAAAAATTTTTATGCTACTTTATTTCCTCATGAAAGTTGTTATTTTTCCAGGAAGAAGAAAAAAAGAAATTAGCAAAGAAAACTGCTATAAGGAAGGAAAACTGGTTGACAGAGGTAATGATGATCTAATATATTTCTTTAATAATTATTGTGTTTTAAATTTGTTATTAATTGTATAGTAATTAAAAATTTGTAGAAATTGTATATATATATATATATATATATATATATATATATATATATATTATATATATATATATATATATAAAAGCATGCCTAACTATTTAGTCTTCATTCAACTATAACTTTAAAAATTATATATATATATATATATATATATATATATATATATATATATATATATATATATATATATATATATATATATATATATATATATATATATATATATATATATATAATTTTTAAAGTTATAGTTGAATGAAGACTAAATAGTTAGGCATGCTTTTAAGTACATTTTTTATTACTGAAGTTCTCAAATTATTATTTGATGCATTAAAACCTTTCAATGAAGTCATTGCATTTCAAAACAAAAATCTCTATGTATATATGCATAGAAAAATAATATTGTTTCCTGGAAATGTGTTTTAAATTGCATCCAATTGTATTTTAAAAAATAACACATTTTATGCACAAAAAGTTTATTTTTATAATTCTTATGTAATTTATAGCATTCATTCTGTACATTTCTGTAATTAAAGTAAATTTACAAAAGCTCAAACCCCCAAACAGGGGTGTAGAGCCATTGGAGCCAGTGGTTTTTGGAAGGAATCAGAGCCAAAAGTTTTTTGAAAAGAAATTGAGCCATTTAAAAACTGCTGGCTCCTCCGCTCTCTTCATTTTAAATTTTTTATTCATTTTTTTAATTGTATTGTTGAATTCTGGAATAGCCTTTCATTTATTCTATATCTATGAAGGAATCAGTTTTTCCGAAAAATGATTTTTATAATACACAAAGTTTGTAATTAAAATTTTCAAAGATATTTAGTGTTGCCAGAGCTAGAGCTGCAACAAAAAATTTGGTAGCTGGACCCAAAAAATTGAGATCCAGACCCAAAAACTTGGGAAATGAAATAAAAATTATAGCAAATGGTTCAAGGCAAACATAGAAAACAGTTCAACTTGAATATAAATGTTCAAGTTATTGAGTGATTTTTATGAGAAATTAGGTTTAACAGGAATTTAAAAACATTTTAAGTTACTGGAAGTTTGAGTTATCGAGGGTTCAAATTATCTGGAATTTGATATATTTTTTTAATATTTATTATAAATCATGTTTTGTTTGTTGTTGTTGTTTTTTATTAAATTCACTTCCCCAAGACTCCAAAAGAGGGTTACAACAATCAAGAAACTCACTTTTTTTTAAGGTGGCATTGTTCACTAATGATACCAGTTGTTCTTATCTTGATAAGAAGTCAACACTCTGATTACTTGGAGGAGATATTTGAACTGGAAAAGGACCTCACTTCTGCTACAGCATGGGACTTCATTCATTAAGTCTCATCCTCTTACTGTGACTGTTCCTAAGTGCTCCAAAAGTTTTTTGGAGCACTTAGGAACTGTCTAGTTTTTTTCTAGAACATCAGTTCTTTGGAATTTGCTTTCTTCATCTTATTTTTCTGATTCATATAATTTGCAATCTTTTAAGTATTCTGTTAATTGTTATCTTGCTCTATAAACTTCATCTTTTCTTTTTCAGTAACTTCCAACTCTAGTAGTGGTTGCTTGCAACCTTGTTGGAAGTGAAGATGTTGAAAAAAAAATGATGTTAATAATAAGTTAATGGCAAAAATGTTTATCTATTATTAAGTCATGTAATTTGTTGTAATGGTTTTAATTTAATCAATTGAGATTTATTTGTGCAAATGTTTCTCTTTTTTTTTTAATTATAACATCTTTAATTGAACACTTATGTGATCAGGTATCAAATAATTTATTTTTGTTATTTATATATATCATTTTAGGAAGCATCAATATGTTGTTTGAATAATTTAATAAAAGTATTGTAATAGTAAAGCATTGGTTGTATGATGCTGTAAAAAACATTCAACAACTGCTACAAAAACATTTGAGCCATTTAGTCCAGGATCTTTAAATTTGAATGTGGTTTCATGTAAAAAGTAATAATGTGAATGGCAAAAGTACAAATTCATGTTCAACAACGGTAGCAAAATATTAAAAATTAATTAAATTTAAACTGAAAATTATTGAGAAAGTGAGGAAAGCAGTTAACTCAAGATCTCAAAGTGTAATAATCATATTTTTGGATGTGATACAACATTGTAGGTCTTCATACTAAAAACAAATACTCAAATAACTAAAAACTGACATCATGTTTTTTATGAGCTGATCAAAACTGACATCATGTTTTTTATGAGCTACTAAAAACTCTCACCATGTTTTTTATGAGCTAATCAAAACTGACATTATGTTTTTTATGAGCTAATAAAACACATAGATCCTCAATTATTAGTAATTAATTTTTAATATAGTCTCAAACATTTTTAATGTTTGCAATTTTATTTTTTTAATGTTTTAAATAATATTTAACCTTATTTAGAAAATAAATTAATCTAACAATTAGATAATTAATCTAACAATTAGAAATAAATCTAACGATTAGACAATTAAAAAAAAAAACTGTCAAAAGAATTTTAAATAAGTTGCTGAAAATGTAAGAGATAATAGAAAATTATAACCTATAGAAAATATTTAGTCTATTTTCTAACAAAATGTAAACACAAAGAGAATAATTAGGTGTCCTAAAATTGTAAAGGGTGCTTCAAAATAAACGCAAGATTTAAGTATGACATTATTTGTGCAGTAAGTTGTTAGCAACTCTAAAAAAAGTCAGCAGCTGAGAATTTACTTAAAGAAAAATACACAACAGCATGTTTTCATATTTAAGCGATATCTCAAAAATAATGAAAACTTGTTGATCACAGTTAGGTTTTATACAAATTCTTCAGCCTCCCGACAAATATGGTTGAAATTGCGTTTAAACTTTATTAACTGTGAAGAGACTAATTGAAAGGAAACTGAAGTTGAAGACACTAAACACACTAATTGTCCAATAACAAGAATCAAATGTCAGTATTAAAGCAGTGTGAAGGTGTTGGAAAAAATTCTAGAACATCAATTTAGCATGGTGGATAAGAATTGCATATTTCAAGAACAGCATATGCTGATAAAAGATTTGTCTTTTACAAACCTCATATAATATCTAATGAATATGACTTTCTTGATGGCTTTATTAATTACTAAATTGAACTGTGCTATCCACATATTGAACTGTGATATCCATGAATTGAACTGTGTTATCCACAAACTTACTTTCAATACAGGAACTAGTCCAAAGTTAAGAATAGTTTTTAATGATACTAGATAAACATCAGGTTTTAAATCTTTAAAAATCTAAATTTGCATCATATACTCACCACAAAATATAAAACCTTGTTGTCCTGTAACTTAGTATCCAAGTGTGTGTAAATTTGAATTCTTCTGCAACAGATTTTGGTTAATAAAAATTAAAGATTCTTTTGCCCACTTACCAATGGTACACTTGAAATACACTTGAAGGTAAATGAGAAAATGGAAAAAAAAGTTGTCATGTATTAAAACTTAAAAATAAAATGGCAAAATCAAAGTGAATATTTCAATAGGAAAATGAGATATAATGAGATATAGTACTATTTCTTTAGAGATATAGTACCATTTCTATCCTTTAAGAAAGAGGCCTAATTCTAAAGTATGAGCAGTTTTTACTTCTTAAATGTTTGTATTATGTATTTATTATATTATTATAAATATATATTTATCATGTTTTGTCTGTTAAATATTTAATTGAGTAGATAAGACATTATGCTTATTTAAGTTTAAATTTATGCTGTGTCAGCAAAAATTTTTTGATTTGTTTGACTTATCAACATAATGTTTTATTTCATTTTTAGCTAAACATGTTATTGGATTGTCACAAAAAAGCTCGATTTATTTTTTATAATTTTTGATTTGTAAATATTTATAAGTTTATTCATTATCAGTAAAACACTTTGTTTTAGGGAATAGTTGTTAAAATCATAACAAAAAAACTTGGAGATAAATATTACAAGAAAAAAGGAGTTATAAAGGTAAAAAGAAATCGTTCTTTCGTTGTTATTTTTTTATCATTTTGTTGTTTGTTTGTTGTTGTTTTTTATGTGAATTAATTTAATAAGGCTCCTTAATTAAGCTAAGTAAATGAAATATTTATTGAAATAAGAAATTTAAGAAATCTTAAATTTTGAATAATGCATTAAGTTTATATGTTAAATAATAAATAAGAAAAAATCAAAATGTTAATACATCTATTTAATTAACATCCCTGCAAATAGCGCGGGTATTAATTAAGTAGCAGGGGTAGTCTCATATATATATATATATATATATATATATATATATATATATATATATATATATATATATATATATATATATATATATATATATATATATATATATATATATATATATACACTTATATATATATATACATATATATATATATATATATATATATATATATATATATATATATATATATATATATATACACATATACATATATATATATATACATATATACACTTATATATATATATACATATATATATATATATATATATATATATATATATACACATATACATATATATATATATACATATATACACTTATATATATATATACATATATATATATATATATATATATATATATATATATATATATATATATATATATATATATATATATATATATGTATATATATATATATATACACTTATATATATATATATACATATATATATATATATATATATATATATACACATATACATATATATATACACATATACATATATATATATGTATGTATATATATATATATATATATATATATATATATATATATATATATATATATATATATATATATATATATATATATATATAAATATATATATATATATATATATATATACACTCATATATATATATATATATATATATATATATATATATATATACACACATATATATATATACACATATATATATATATATATTTATATCTGTTAATGGCCTGGTATTTAATTAATACTCCTATATTTCATGGGTTTTACTCAATACAATAGGAACATTCTGGCATTTTATGTTGCGCAGTTACTATACATTAAAAAAAAAAGGATATTTTATTTAAGGCTAGAAAATTGCCATCTTTATCTTCAGTTGACTGTTTATAAACAGACTTTTAATTGAAACATGGAACCCCACTCAGTTTTGATTTATCATGTTTCCTTTTTCAGTGTACTTTTTTATTCTTTGAAGATTGACAGAATCACAATAGTTTGAGGTGACAACTCTAGAATTTGTAGTGAAATTATTTTTAACTTTTACTATATAGTAGTAATAGCATTTTATAATAGTAGCCATGATATATAACCTTTATCTTAATAAAACCTTTTGATAAACAGTTTGAAAGTCATCACTTCTCATTTAGCAGTTTAATATAATACTCTCAACTATTATTCTGGTTAGTATATTTTAGTTCTACTCTCCATCAAATGTTAATTTAGGTTTCTTTTAGTCATTTCTTGTTTAGAATAAATTATTTTCTTTTCAGCCAAAACTTCATAAACAGATCTTTAAGGAAAAAAAAAATTTTTTTCTTCTTAAAGAACTGCATCAGCACCATATCAAAAAATGTTTTTTAATTGGTCACCAATCTCTTTTTTTTTTAGCCGGATTTTTTTTATTTTTGTGCTACTCAAGATCTCTCCAAATCTGAAAAAGATTTTTATTTGCAATACAACACTATACTCAGTTCTCACAAGAATTTGTACTTGTTCTGTCCAAATTAAAAGGAAATTTCTTATATTTCAGCTGCTGATTCATAGATTAATTTTTTTTAAGCCTTATGAATGCATTCAAACATCATGTTTTGGTGTTTGCATTCTACAGAGTTCTTTGAAGAAGATTTTGCTTTAAACTATAGCTGATAAAAGATGCTTTTGGGAAACAACATTTCTTTATATAGTAAATGTTTTTTTTATAAACTTTGCACAGTTTGTTAACTCTAACAAATTTATAACAAATTATTGATTTTAAAATGATTTAACAACTACGGGTTATTAATTACATCATAGAAATTTGTAAATGCGTTTAAATATCCTAAAAAAATATATAAATTTCAAAATAATAATTATTGTCTGTCAGGTATTGTAATTCTATTTCTATTAAAATTTTAAAATTTTAAAAAATTATAATTTTATGTTTCTTATAAAACAAGACTTGTCTTGTCTTTTGTCTGTTGATTATTTTTTATGGTTGCTAAGTTAATCATTTAATTTTTTATATTTATTTTTTATATTTATTTTTTATATTATTTTATATTTACACATAGATATTACCTGACAAACAACAATATGTTAACTTTAATATGTTGACTTAAGAATATTACTGTATGCATTTTGCCTAATGGAAATTATTCTGTTAAGTATTGCTAGGTTACTTTGCACATATTAATATAAGTTTATTCAAGTAGCTTGAATTTGGAATTCAGACATTGCCCATAACAGCATCCAAATATGTTGAACATTGTCATAGTCTGTCTAGAACCCTGTTCCCTGTTTATTTATGATTATGATAATTACGATAATTTATGATTCTTTTTTTTTAATTTGTTTATTTATTACTTTTGTCTATTTTTTTATTATTAATTTTTTGTTTTGCATATTTTAGGAGGTGAAAAATTTATTTATAGCATTCATACAGCTTGACTCTGGTGATACTTTGAAGCTTGATCAGACCCATTTGGAAACTGTAATACCTGCTATTGGTGAGTTAATAGTCATCTCAGAAAGAACTGAAAATAGATATTGTAACGACTAAGCAAGACTAAGTTTAATAGATAGATAATAAAAAAAAGTTTGATAGATTTAAGATAAAAAAAGTTTAATTGAACTGATTTTTATATCAAAGCCAATCTGTGAAATCATTTCAAACAAGAAATCTTTATAAAAAAAAAAAATTTTGTGATCAAGTCATATCTTTTATAAACATTTAAAGTAATTGTATAAATGATTTAAGTGAGTGTAAGCGATTTTTAATATTTCTATTATCACTGATAATAAAATAGAAATATTTGTATTACTTAAGTTATAATAAATATTTGTTCAAAATTATTTAGTTAGTGCAAAATTAACTTACTCTCATGAATAATCACAAATTTTGATCCAAAGTTCTTTTGCTTATTCTAACTGTTATAATGGAAACATTCTATTGTACAGTAGATTGAAGCACTCAGACAAAGTATTGCTCTTGACGTTTTTCTATAAAAAATGTAATGGTAACATATTGAGTCTTCTCCTTTATACCTACTTGGATTATTTTTCAATATTGACCTCTTATGGAAAATGTAAATCTAATTGTAAAGTTAGAAAAATTATCAAAATTTATTGTCATACCTTGCAAAAATATTTGAAATTGTTGTCCTATTTTGGCTAATTCTTTCACTGATTCTTTAACTGATTTTGTTTCACTTTTAAATAAAAAATTCAAAAACTAATTGCAATTGGTTGTGGTCTAGCTGTCAAACCTAAGCCTTTGTCCTACTGTATTAAGGTTGCTTTCTCTTTCTCTTTTCTACAAATACTATTATGGTTGTTGGTTAACCAAACTATCATGGGTTGTTCTATCAACCAAAACTTAATCTGGTGTGACTTGTAATTCAGCAAAGTTGCGTCCTTTTTTACTGTTCTTTCATGCTCAAAAAGCATTTATTCAACTTTTATTCAAATTTTATTCAAATTTTTTCCTTGAAAATCAATCCTTTGGTTTTCACTCCCATCTTTATGTTTTCCAGACTCATTCTATTTACAGTTTTTTAAGTTTTTAATTTACCTTGCCTAACTGTGTATAGAACGCTGTGGATTTCTTTCAAGACTGTTCTACACAAAGATTTAGCAGACAAATAAGATCAAATAAAATAATAATAATCATAACTTGTAATGTTACTTTAACCATCAAAAAATATTTATAATATCAAAAATATATATATATAACGTAAAAATTACTACTGTGCCATATAAAAGCAAATTTAAAAGTAATATTTTATACAAAAAATTATTTAACTATTATACTAAATTATATTAAACTATATTTTTTTATCAAAAAGTAAAAAAAGAGTTTTTTTTTTATGCACTCTTGTATCTTGGCTCTTGCATATTGCAGTTGTCCTCACCTCCACAACCAATAAAACAAAATCCCAGGTTCAAGTTTTTCAAAACCATCTCCTTAAAACAGCTGATATTGATCCTTGTGATGCAACCAATAATGGTATCCTTCCAATTGAGAAACATCTAGATGCTGTAACATCATTACTCTTAAATAAGTATCATACTTAGTGATACTTATTGTATACAGCATCTAGATGTTCCTCAATTGGAAGGATACCATAATTGTATCCTTCCAATTGAGGAGCATCTAGAATGTATACAGCATCTAGTGATTAGTCTACACATTCTGGTGTAGACATATCACACTTAGTCTACACAAGAATGATTACTCACATTCCACTTTTAAATTCAACACTAGAATACCAAAAACGACAATGTATTTAAATACATATCAACAAAAATTTATCTGCCAACTTCTTAATGAGGCTAATAAATCCGGTGCTAGTTCTACTCTATACGTTACCTGAAAACACTCAGTACATTCTCAATATACCTCATCAAAATATTGTACTATTAGTTTTTGTAAACTTAAATCAATATTTATTTCAATAAAAGATTTAAAAGATAATATATATATACAGATATATATGCTTGCATTTGCATATGTTTTGTATTTAAATAGGTAAAGAGGTTAAAATTGTGAACGGGCTACATCAAGGTTGTACTGCAACAATGCTTGGAATCAATCAAGAGAAATTTTCAGCTACTCTTCAACTCAAGGATGTTAGTATTTTTTTCATTTTAAATATATTTTTTAGCTTGTTATTTCTACCTCTGATTAATTTTATAATTACAATTTAATTATATATATATATACTTAAAATAATTGAGTTATTAGATTTTTTTGTAATTTTCAATGATAACTTTAAATCTTTTCATAAGAAAAACCTGAAAATTTGAGATCATAATTCAAAATGGTTCAAAAGTTATTGCATTTAGAAGTTTCATAAATATTGACGTCATTTTTAAAGTTTTACAAGTTATCATTTAGTAACTTCATGCAGTTAAAAATGTTGTTTAAAATGAGAGGAAGTGCTGAGTTTATATGAATTAATGTAATATCAATTTTTATACGTTTTAGGAAAAAATTAAGCTTTTAAAATACCTGCAACACATGTTTTTCTGCTACCCAAAAGTACCCCAGGGATGTTCAAAAACATTGTTATTGAACGCCCCTGGCAGGGTTTACGGCACTCAGGGAAAACCAGGGAAAATTTTTTTAATTCCAAAAATCAGGGAATACCTTGAAAAGTCGGGGAACTTTTTTTTAAAATCTTTAAAATCAGGGAAGTTATTTTATAAAATACTAATTTTGAGTTTTTATTTTTATTGAAAGTTGCTCACTACAGTGGTTTTATAACTTTTATAAAATATAGTAACCATATGTTTAGATAAATATTTAATTAAATATAATAACATAAGATATGACTTCAGAGAAGACCTGTTTTATATTCAAAATTTCCAAAAAGATTAGAAACTAACATTTATGTACATATAATTGAAACGTTCGTGGAGTGGACTCCATTGTGAACTCCATTAGGGTTATCATTGTACACAATTCTCAGGTTTTTAACCCTAATGCATTGATAACAATGACTCCAGAAAACGTTGAGAAAGAGTAATCTTTAAACGTTGAGAAATCCCTATTGACCCACTTTTTCTGTCTTTTCTGAAAAAGCTGTAAATCAATTTACAAATTTCTTTAGAGAACCAAGGGTTTATCAAAACAATTTTCATGAACTCAATAGAGATAGAGATAGAGTTTTGACGACTTCGATTTTAAAAAGTGCAATCTAAATAAGTATAACAAGTTGGCATCAACTGTCAAAATACTTTTGACACTGAGTCATGGACAAGCTTCAGTTGAGAGTAGTTTAGATAATAATGAAATTACAAATAAATTGATAATCAATGTAAAATCAGTCTATGAAAGATGAAAATGACAACCACTAATAAAAATGAAGAAATTGGCAAGAAAAGTTGTTAGCAATGAAATAAAAGATGTGGAAACAAGACAAAATCAAATGAAAAAAACCAGGGAAATGTTGCAGCTTGATTTTGTAAAGTTTGTTGCGGAAGCTGAGTAGAAGCAAAATCTAGGGTAAATTTTGTAATCTAATGCTATAAAATGAAAAGCAAATGAGAAAAAAGAAGAAATTAAGAAATAGGAGCTAGCACCTGGTATCTTAGATCAAAAGAGAAAGTTATATAGAAACTTTATATAGAATAGATACATATAAAATTCATATTTTGTTAAAGCACATTACTTTGTTCAAAATATCTTCAAAGCACATGTTAAAGCACATTACTTTTTTGAACAAAGTAATGTGTTAAAGCACATTACTTTGTTCAAAAAAAATTCTTTATTTTATGTTTCTAATAAAACAATAAAAAAAAGCAATGAGGTTTAATTATCAATAAGTTGCATAGAAAGATTACATGGTAGATTTAAATTGTTATTTTTTAAATATATTTTTTATATTTAACTTTTATGGCTTTTTTTCTTTATTAAACTACTTTTTATTACTTAAAAATCTTTCTTTTTACAGATTGCTCTTAATAAATTAGAAGTATCTAATTTCTTTAAAAATTCTGATAAAAATATTAGTGGAGCATGGATTCAATTGCGAAAGTATTATATCCTTTAACATTAACAAGGAAATTTATATTTTTTTTACCACCTGAGATCAGGGGAAAAGTACTCGAAATCAGGTGAAAACTCAGGGAAAATGGATTTCTAAAACTGCCATGAACCATGCCCCTGGGGTAGGGAAAAAAGTGTGTTGCAGGTATTTTAAAAGCTAATTTTTTCTTTAAAGTATAAAAATTGATATTACATTTGTTCATAAAAACTCAGTACTTCCTCTCAATTCACACCTGGGTAGTGGAGCCGAAAGTTTTTTTTACGGCTTGGCTCCGGCTCTTAAGAAATGTCCGGCTCCCGAATTTTATGAACAAAAATTGCAAATTTAGGAATATTCATTCTGATCACATTTGCCTACCCAAATCCAAACCAATTACAGCAATTAATTTTTAATCAACTTTCATGTTTACAAGGTGAATGTATTACTTTACTACCGTATAATACATTTAAAAAGAAAAATGTTTCGAGTAAATATACATTTATTTCTTTATATTAAAAAGTTCAAATTTCACGTGTTCGAATTATTTAATTACGACTAAGTACGAATTGATTTATTAGGAGGTACGCAGAATTTTGAATTGTTTTAAATAATTAAAAACGTTAAAACACATCATGTGACTTGATATATAAGTGCAATAAATTTCTGTGAACCAATTATTAACTTGATTATCAATGACTAATCAAATGCGACAATATGAATCATGATATAATAAACGAAATTTAATAATAAAGAAACGCTTTATCACAAACAAACAAAAACAACTTAAAAAAACACGAGAGTCGTAAGCCACTTGATTTTTGCAGCTCCAGCTCTACCAAAAAACAGCGACTCTACGGCTCAAGAAAATGTATATAAATAAATGTAATGTTAATTGGATTGTTATTAGGATTTATTCTCATCCAATGTTATTAGGATTTATTCTCATCAGATTTATGCTACACTGAAAGTTTGCCAGCTAGTTAATTTAACAAAAAAAGGAAGAACTAAAGATTCGATGAGGGTTGAAACAAAGTCTTAACATTTATCTGTAAAAAAGCATAAGCATGTTTCAAATTTTATATCACTGTAGCATTAGTGATATGGTTACATTTCACAAGTGTGGAATTATGGAGTATATTAACTTTCAAGATTCTTTTCTTGTCTATAAAAGAATTTATAATTCAAGACTTGCTTTTACAGAAATAACCAACTATTTATATTGCATTATTTTTAAGTGTGTGAAAATTTTACAAAAGTAGAGGTCATGCTACCAAAAAGAATTGTAAAGAGCGCGAATATGTATTTAGTTTCAAATAGAAATAATCAATTCAATCAAAAGTTCGGATTATTTGATGGAGTAATGGTTTATTTATTGGCACTAGGATCTTAATTTATGTTACTTCATAATTGGTAAACTTTTAACAATGTTTTTGTGCTGGAATATCTTTTTAAAATTTAAATTTCGATTTTTACAAATTTGGCTGTTTATTTTGTTATTTTTTTTTAGCAAATTTCAGTTTGTTTGTTTGTTTGTTGTTGTTTTTTTTTGTCTTTGTATATTAAGATTCCTTTGTGTAATCCTTACACAAGATTAAAAAAGATTAAAAACTAGTTTGAACAAATTTAAAAAAAAGAAAAGTTGAAATTTAAGCTTTCTTAAAAATTATGGGTTAAAACTTATTCATAAACATTTTTATAAACATTTACTTATTTTATTTGGTTGCTTATAAATTTCTTTTTAACTTTTAAAAAGAAATTTATAAACATATTAACTAAATGTATTTTTAATTTAAAATTTTTATTTTAAGTTTAAAAATATCTTTTTAACAGTCAATGTTTAGAGAGCTAGTTAATATTTTTCTGACCTTATTAAATTCTTTTTGTTTAAGCATTTACTATCAGGTGCTAAATACAAAGGAGGGGTAGTTTGTTAACTTTTGGAAAGTTTACCCACCCTGAGCGTATTAAGATTCATTAAATTCATTCGTTTATTAAATTTCACTGATTTTGCCTAATTTTTATATTAAACGACTCTCAAACCTAATCGATTTTTTTACGTCGGAGAATTTTAGTTTGTAAAAACTGTTTACTAAGTTATTTAATTTATTTGTCCGTAAAAATTGTTCAATATTATTCATAAAAATGAGGTTTTGGATTTATATTTTTTTGATTATTTTTGACGTTCACTCAACATCTCAATGACTCAAATATATATATATATATATATATATATATATATATATATATATATATATATATATATATATATATATATATATATATATATATATATATATATTGTTAATATTAACTTATAATAATAATTAAAAGATTTAAAAATAAGCATATAAGAATATACTATAATATAGTAATTTGATTTTGATATATTATTATTATTATTATTACTATTATTATTATCATCAATTCTACTATAAAAGCGTAAATATTTTTAAGGGACCATTAAAAGGAAGCACTATCGAAGATGTGAAGTACGAAGACTTTTGTAAGCTAGCAACTACATGATTTTAATGGTATTATGTGAAATTAAGAATCTCCAGAAACTCTTGTAAAATGTCGCAGTAAAAACAAACTGTAATACGATATTATAATAGTCGAACAATTATTGAAATAATACTAACGTTTAAACTTTGTTAACGATAATCATAAAATTGAAGATAAGTAATAAAGTATAAATTATTGAAATAATACGTATAAATAATAACGTATGACTTGTTAACAATAATAATAAAATTGAATTTAAGTCGCAAAGTCTGCTAAAAAATGTTTTGACTGTGTTTTTATTTTTGATTATTTTAATAACCTTTTATTTGGCACAGTTGTATATGCTACGTTATATATATATATATATATATATATATATATATATATATATATATATATATATATATATATATATATATATATATATATATATATATATATATATATATATATATATATATATATATATATATATATATATATATATATATGGTTAAAGTAACGTTGTAAGTTATTATTTTTTATTTTTGATCCTATTTGAGATTATTTTTTTTCTCTACACTGTTAGGCGAACTAAATAAAAGCCCTTAAGGATCGGCGAACGTTCGTTAAAATTTGTATTACGATGTTTACTGAAAGGCGATGCTGACTTTCGCTTCGACTGGTGCCGAATTTAAAATAGAAATTCGGCTTTCAGTTAAATTCGGCAACAATTGCAAAATTTCATTTGACTTTCAGTTAAATTCGAAATTCATTAATTTTTTTCAATTAAAAAACAATTATAAAATATATTACATGTTTCATTTATATCAACCTGTTTATCTGCACAACAGCCTTGTTTGTCAAGGTGCGTGTTTCGGAGTTAAAGAGTTAAGAGAGGGTTGTAATCACTATATATATAAAAAAGAGTAGCCTCGGCTAAATTGGCTTTAAATACATGAATTCAGTAAAACAAAAATAACATTCGAATTTTGTCTTAAAAAGTCAATAATCAAAAAGTTTTCTTTTTCCTTGATAAAATTGACGTGAGAAATTTTTCAATAAATGGTTAATGATCCTATTACCGAGAACCATTTAACAATACAATAATAATAAACTAATCAAAAGAATATAAAATGAAAAGTAAATACCGTTTAAGAAAACATACATACAAATAAGATCTCAATATCAAGCACCGTTATCTCAAATATAAATCTCAAATGTTTTCAAAAGTCAAAAGTTCCAAGTATTAAAAGCGATTTTTTTTTATTTTTATTTTGATGTAATTAGAACAGATGTATTTTTTTTTTTTTTTTTCTGTGTTAAACGAATTATTTAATTTTTCAAGTTTATAAATTGTAGTATCTGTTTACTTGAAGCTTTAGGAGGATCATTAATGTAAACTAAAAATAGGCGCAAAAATGAAACATTTGGGGGGGGGGGGACAGCATTTTATTTTAATTTTGAGTAGTTTTTATCATAAGCAACTTCTCATCGCTGTCTGTTCATTAAAAAGACATAATTTGTCGCCTTAAATAAAGCTTATTTAAGGCGACATTTTTTATCCCAAATTTTTCCATCTTTTATATAGGATATAATTATTTTAATAGGATTGTATTATCTACAACGTTAAACGCTTTGTTAAAGTAACGTATTATTAAAGTACAAAATTTTTATTTTCAAAGGAGTCATTTATGTTATTTATAAGATCTAAAATTGCATGCTTGTTTGAATGTTATTTTGATAACTGAATTGTTTTTCATTCAAAATTTGTTATTTACTAGATATATAGTTTATTACAGATTACTTACTATAAAAGTTTTGAAAAGGCACGAAGTATTGATGTCTGTAATTATTTAGTGTAAATCGCTGGTTTTTAAAATAGATATAAATTTGCTGTTTCTGATTTATATAAATCAGAAACAGCAAATTTATGTCTATATTAAAAACCACATTCTTGAAATATTTTAGTCTTCAATAAACATCGGATTTGTGCTAGATATCTAGCACAAATCCGATGTTTATTGAAGACTAAAATATTTCAAGAATGTGTTTGTTTGTTACGATGCAACAGTTATAAATGTCTTTTTGGTAACAAACAAGCACATCCTTGATCTACATTGATCCTTGATCTATATCTACATCTGCACTATAAGTACTATACTGCTGCGAATCTCGTCACTAGTCTTATTTATTTTCAACGAGTTTATTGCAATTTTTTAGTTCTTTATAATTGAAATTAAAACTGTAATTTAGATTTGTAATATAAGTTTGCAATGAGTACAAACATTTTTTTTTTTTTAAACTTAAAATTTTCAGCAAATTTTCGTCTTTATATGCTGTTTCAACCTATGTATCTGGCAAACTATTGTATCTTTCAGTATTTTTCAAGTTTTTTCAACATTGCTATTAGTTTTTTCAAGTTGTTTTTTCTAGGTTCTTTATAATTTAATTTATAATTTTAATTCATTTTAATTTTTTTTTTAATTTTAAATTCTTTTTAATTTTATTTCTAAGTTATTTTTTCCTAATTTTAACGGTGTTTCATTTCTAATTCTTTTATTTTTCTCTATTAGCTTTACGCGATTAGAATATTAAGATACTTGTCAAACTTTGTCAAACTTTGAATTTAAAACATTTAAAATTAAAATTTCAATCCTTTTAAATAGGAATTCGGATCCTGATATTAATTTTTATAATGATGATAAACTAATTAAAAATATTAGCCCATTATATTATAACTCATACTTAAAAGATATTACCAAAGGAATGGATGATAACTTATTTTCAATTCTTCATTTTGGGAATTTAAAAATTTTTTTGAATCATTAAAACAGTTTCTATATAAAATTAAAATTAATTTTCAAATTATTTGTCTTAGTGAAACATGGTGTCGTGAAAAATGTTGAGAACGATTCATATTTCCAAATACTCAATTACAATCTAGTCCATCAAATTAGAGACTTGGGCAAGGAAAGCGGGGGTTTATGTATGTTTATTAAGAATTCATTGTTACTCAAAATTAATTCAAATTTAAGTTCAATCACAAATAATTATGAGTCATTATTTGTGGAAATCATTAATAAAGCCTCAAAAAACATTGTCGTGCATGCATTATACAGACCACCATCAGGAAATATTAATGCGTTTAAAGATCACATTAAAAATATAATTAAAAATAAATTGAGTTTAAATAAAAGTGCTTATTCCGTGGGTGACATTAACCTTAATATTTTAGAGTAAGCAAACGAATAAATTCTTTAACGTCATTTTTCAAAGTGGATATAATCCGATAATAAATAAACCTACGCGTGTGACTAGCGGTAATGCAATGTCAATTGATCAAATTATGACTAATGAATTTATCAATAAAAAAGTTAGATCTGGAATATTTAAAATAGACATTTCGGATCACTTTCCGATTTTTATAATATCAAATAAATGCATTCAGCCTGACGTTTATAAAAAAAAAGTTACAACACGAATTATAAACAATACATCCATGAAATATCTTCATTATCTTTTATAGTACGTGAATTGGAACGAGCTAAAAAATCAAAATACCAATGAAGCCTACGATATTTTTTTAACCGAGTTTCTTACTCATTATAATAAATTACTAAATTAGTCAAATAAAAACGCTTTTAAACCCATCGATAACGAAGGGAATCCTTAAATCTTCCAAAATTAAATAACGATTATATTGTAAATTTCTTAAAAAAAGAACTTTGGTAAATCAAACTACTTATAAAAGTTATAAACGTTTATTTGGATCTGTTCTAAAACGCTCAAAAAAAACCTATTATTCTGAAAAATTAAAGAGAAACAACAGTACACAAAAAACATGGAACATTATTAAAGACGTAATTGGTAAAAAAAATCTGTACCGAAATACACTCCCATCTAATCTAAAATTAATAATAACTTAATTGTAAATAAATCATTAGTTGCAGAAACTCTTAATAACTTTTTTGTTAATGTAGGTTCGAATTTAGCCTCTAAAAAAGGACCATCTTAGACAATCTATCGTTCATACCTAACACCTAATATAACTTTCATGTCTAATCATGAACTTAAAGAAGATGAATTATTAAACTCAGTTTCTATACTAAAAACTAATAAAAGTCCGGGCGCTGATGATGTTAGTCGGAATGTAATTATTAAATCAATTAGTTTTTATAAAAATATCACTCTTACATATTTTAAAGTTATCTTTAAAACACGGGGTTTTTCATGAAAACTTAAAATGTGGAAAGGTTACACCAATCTATAAATCAGGTGTTCCTTCAGATGTCTCAAACTACAGACCAATCTCAATTCTTACCTGTTTTTCCAAGATTTTGGAACGTGTTATGTATAACAGACATTATTCTTTTTTAACTATTAATAATATTCTTTACGATAAACAATTTGGGTTTCAATCTGGCCATTCAACCAATCATTCATTCATCTAATACACAAAATACCATGGCCTACTTAAATTACACGGCCTGATTTGTTGCATTTTCCGTAAAAAATTAAGAGGCCAGTTTTTTTACGGCTCAAGTATAAAAACTTAATTTTTGTTATGGTTAAGAGTCTTGTTTGCACCATAATTGTTTTATTTTTATTTTATTAAAATGGTTTAATAATAGTTAGATTTTCTTTGAGTACTTACATTAATTTGTTGCTAGATTTTCTGTTAACTGATTGCCTGCTTCAGTTTATTCCAACAACACAGAATACTGAAATAGGCTCCCAGATAACTATATCAACCCATACCAACATGCTACTAAAAATAATCTCTCATGTTGCTTAGATTGCCTAAAACTCTCCATTGAGCAAAAAAAAGGTTTGTAGTTTTGTATTTTTTATAATTGAAATAAAAAGATAAAATACATTAGTATTTATGTAGACAACTAAGCAATATCTTGGATAATATTTTTTAAGGATTATCAAAATTCTGGTAAATATTTTCTGAGAAAATCTGAAAAAATCTTTTTACTTATGCACATTTCTAAAAGGCTCACAAAAATTCTACTATTGGGCATTTAACTATACTTAATAAAACCTAGCTCCAAAGGATCTTTTTGTAAATTAACTATAAACAAATGTAAAGCCTTCTTCAAGGAAATCATGCATAAGAAATACAAATGCGTGTAGTGTTGTAATTAGAGCACAAGAAGTTTGTTTGGTTAATGTCAGCTATTTATCAAATTTTATTTTGATCAAATTTCAGTACAATTTGCAATTTCTCTATAAAGTGTGGGTTTGTTATCACCTTTCATAGCAGCATTGCTGAGTTTGATTAGATGAATTAAGTTTCTGCTTTGAATTAAGTATGATAAATAACTTATAAAACAATGATAATTGTGCTGCGTTATTTCTTTCAGAAAAATAACTCTAAATTAGCAGTTGTAGCTGCAGTTGTTTTGTCAAATATTGTCGATGTTGACAACTTGTTTGTTGTTACCAAAATATGTGATTTGATAACTAATTTTTCTTGCTTTTTCTTGCTTGTTTAATAAGTGATCTTTTAATAAACTTTAAGAAATATATTCCCTGCAATGTAATCAGCAGTAACTTCAACAAGAAGAAAAAAACAAAAACCGAGTTTATCAAATAACAAGTATATTTTAAACACTCCCTTTCTAAACTAAATGATAAATTAATAATTTTCCATCTCCAGTATATGCTTTATGAAACTATATAAATGCATTAACATTTGTAAAATGGTTATCGGTAACTATCAGTAGTTCTTATCTTAAATTCAGATTGGTGCATTGAGGTAATACACTCATCAATTTCTTATTTCAAACATATACCTGTTATGTAAACTTTAGGTTATGATTTCAAAACATAAGAATAAATTTTTAAAGCCCTACAATCATAAAAACAAAAACCAATTCTTTATAAAAATTGTTTTCTCAATCTTCATCAAAATGTTTACCACTTTGGGCTGCTTTTTGAAAGTTCACCTTACCCACAAGAAGCAAATAATCTCTTAATACCAAACTTTTGTCAATGTTTTTTCTAATATATTATAGTTTTTCAATTTGTATTTTTTACCACTGCGAAACCATTTAAATAAAGAAGAATGATAACCATTTATTTGGCAATAAAAAAAATTAGAATTTTATTAACAGCTATTGACTCCAAAACAGTTGGTATGCCTGATATTTCTTGGCTACTGTAAATAAATAGCCTGATTTGTTACATTTTAATTGCTGTATGTTTGAGACATGCAGCATAATAAAGTATTTACAATGCAAAACCTTGTTTTGCAGTGTAAATAATTTAAAGAAAAGTTTATGTTTTCTACTTAATAATTGCAATTATAATAAATACAAAATTACAAACCTTTAAAATTATTTCCAATGGAGAGTTGTGGGTAGTTTTAGCAATATGTAAGATTATTTTTAGTAGCATTTTAATATGTGTTGATATAGCTATCTGAAAGCCTATTTCAGTATTCTTTTTTATTGGAATAAATTGAAGCAGGCAATCAGTTAACAGAAAATCTAGCACAAAATAATTTAAGTAATCAAAGAAAATCTAACTAATATTAAACCATTTTAATAAAATAAAAATAAAACAATTATAGTGCAAACAAGACTCTTAACCATAACAAAATTTAAGTTTTTATACTTAAGCCGTAAAAAAAACTGGCCTCTTAATTTTTTACGGAAAATGCAACAAATCAGGCCGTGTAATTTAAGTTGGCCATGAAAATACTCAAAGGTTTTGATGAAAACAAATTTACATTAGGCGTCTTTATTGATCTAAGTAAGGCTTTTGATTCGGTGGATCAGAATATTCTTCTAAACAAACTTAAAAATTATGGTATCTTAAATTATGACTTAGCTTGGTTTAAAAGTTGTCCTACAAACAGGAAACAGTATATCTCATTTAATGATAGTAAAATGGATTTAGCAACAATTTCTTGCAGCGTCCCACAAGGATCAATTTTAGGTCCCCTTTTGTTCCTCGTTTATATAAATGACTTAAATAAATTTTCAAGCATCTTAAATTCAATCCTATTTGCAGACGAAACCAACTTATTTTATTCTGATAAGGATATTAATTCTTTATTTGAAACAGTAAACAAAGAGCTTGCAAAACTAAGCGAATGGTTTATAACAAATAAATTATCCACTAACATAAAAAAAAAATTATATACTTTTTTCCATCATCTTCATGAAAAGAGGCTTATCCCAATAAACCTTCCAAATTTAGTTGTAAATAACTCTTGTGTAGTAAGAGAGCGTTCATTGTTATTTCTTGGTGTTGTTATTGATGAAAATGTGAGTTGGAAGGAGCACATAAATATAATTCACGGTAAAATTTTGAAAAATATTGGTCTACTTTACAAAGCTAAGCTTTTATTAAATCAAACCTGTTTAAAATTAATTTAATTTTTCATTTACTCATAGCTACCTAAGTTATGCAAACGTTGCCTGGTCTAGCACTAATGCAACTAAAATAAATAAACTATTCAGTAAACAAAAGCATGCTGTAAGAATTATTGGAAATGTGAATTGTTTCTCACACACTAAACCTCTATTCATTAAAATTAATAAAAGTTACCTGTTTTATTTGACTCATTTTTGGAAAAAATAAATCAACTATACCCAACACGATTTTCAGAAAACAATTATATTCAACCTAAAACCTATTACTATGTTACTAAGTTTTCAATTGCAGACAGAGGTCCTAAACTATGGAACACGCTATTGAATAATGAGTTTAAAACTATTTCTTCTATTAAACATTTAAAAAACAAACTTAAGCAAAAGCTTTAACGAACTAAAATTTTTCTGAAGCCTTTGACTAGGAGTAATCACGTTTGTCTATTTTATTTCTTTATAAATTTGGTTTAAATATATATTCTATATATACTGTTAGTCAACTTGTACATTATGACGTTGTTTTTATTTAATTTGATATAATTAACTTAAATAAAAAACATATAAAAAACATATATAAAAGACACATTAAGTTACTAAAAATAATTTTAAAAATGTTTGTTTGTTGTTTTGTTTGTTATTCGTGTATTATCTGTTATTTTATGATTTAAATTCAAAAGGTTTATAAATCTAAAACCAGTTAGAAAAAATGAATTTAATTAAAAAATATTAATTAAAAAAATTTTCGTATACTTTTGGAAATATTACACTCTAACAGCGTAAAATGTATTTTAAGTTTTTTTTTACTTAACGTTACATTTTATTTAACGTTATTTTAACGCAACGTTTTATTTAACGTTTAATTAACGAGCTACTTTGCTTTGTATTTTTAATATTGACAGTTTTATTTAAAGGGGCTTGGTGATAAGACTAAACTACTCTTCTTCTTACCCCAGCCATGTATTATATATATGTATTGCATAAACTTGTAAACTTTTTTTTATCGGCGAAATGCATAATAATAATAATAAGTAGCTAACAGAACTTATATCAAGGTTTTAAAAAGAGCGAGGCGGCAAGGCGTGCGCTTTTTTAAACCTTGACTTTAGTCGAGTTTTAAAAACCTTGTAAAAAGCGCACGTCTTACCGTCTTAAGGCGACACTTTTTTAAACCTTGATTTTTAAAGCTTTGGCTCCAGGTACATTACTCGGCTTTAAATATCGCCATCAAAATTTATCGAATAATCGCATAACGGTAACCCAAGTGCTTACTAATACAAAAATGCGAAATCCTTTGCCACATAAGCAATATGATTTTTATAATAATAACTTTTATACGTCGAGTTTACTCTTGCATTTTTTGATGATTTTTAATTAAAGTACAAAAATACAATTGTGCAAAAAAAAAAATTATTTCACAGACCAGAGTTAGTATTTATTACAATAGTAATAAATAATTTTAAAGAAATAACATAGTAATTACTATAATTAGTAGATATTAGATATCCATAAAATTATATTCTATATACTTTTAATAAAAGTAATTTTCCACAAAAGACATACGCAAAAAAAATTTGGTTTCAACGATTTACGAAAAAACCGCGTTAAACATTTTTAATGGTCTAAAATTGCAACTGACAAAATTGCGAAAATTGAGTTTAATGTATAATCCGATATAGTCATTGGGGTAGTACTAATCTGTAGGCAAGTAACGAATATTAATAACTATTTTTGTACCCATTATTAGAAAACTTTAAATTATGCAAGCAATCTCGACTTTTCTCCGTTTTGCAAAAATGTCAGTTACAACCTTTTTGCTCTGAGCTCGCGATTTATTGGTAACATTTTTAAATTTGAGTATGAGAAATAACAAGGTTAAAATTCAGAAATATTTTAATCTAAAAACAAGCTATAAAACATAAACAATTTTTATGGAATTTGGCTTTTTTTTTAAATATATACACAATTAGTGTTGCTTAACAGCCAGTTTATCTTTAAGACTTTGAGGCATTTCTGGAGGTGGTGGTCGTGGAATACGGAAAGCTACTTTTACACTGTCATAAATAAACCATTGTAGAGCAGTCAATGTACCTATCATTATAATTCGAGGACCAAGACCAGCCCACAATCCTAAAAAAAAAATTACAAGTGATTAAACTAAAATTTCAGTTCTTAACAAAATTTTTACAATCACATAAAAAATATTCCAACTATTTAAGAATGTTATGAAATTTTAAAAAGAACATAAAATTTCATTATTAAATACTCAAGAAAGAAAATTATGGAACAGAGTTAAATGAGCATGGACATATTAGGAACTTAGACGGCATTTAAATCACTCAATAAAAAGAATTTGCTTTATATCAATGAGTGTGCGACTCATTCAACTTTTAATTACTTTTTAAATTTTTTCACTGCATAATTTAAAAGAAGTAGAAAATTAAAATATTCCGTTTAAACTTCATGAGACAAAAAATGTAAATTTATCATTACTATTATAAGATATTTCTAAATGGCCTGAGTGATTTAATAAATAAGATTTGAAAAAATAATTTTTTTAAAAACATGTTTCATCATTTACAACTGAAATGATTAGGTTTAATGACAAAATGTTTTGCAAATATGTATACATAGAAAACTTTAATTAGGCAGCAATTCAGGCAGCTAAATCAGGTAGGGTTTATCCTGCTACTGGTAACATGTAACCCAGTACAATCTGCTTCATGTCCTGCTGCCTTGTAGGATACGCCTTTTTAAGCAAAGGCTAGGAGATGCAAACTCTGACATAAAACACCCCCTGCCTTGGGGCTCTTGGTTGAGTAAAGGCTAGAGATCTCGATAAAGTGTCTCAATAAAAATACTCATCTTGGGCAGATATTAAATGCATCCGTCTGATGTCTTGTAGAAGAACTCCTAGGCAAAGACTTAAGGGGTAAACAGATTCTATCTGTTGACCAGCCTCGCACCCCTTCTTCATCTATTGGGCTGGGGCAGATGTATTTCTAATACATTGTTTCTAGTTGAGGATGTTAAACGCTCGATCTTCTTGACTCGATGCATGGGTTTTGCTTGTGTCTGTTTTTATGACTAGGCAACTCATTCTATTATCTCCAAATGAGGGTACAGCTCTAAAACTAAGTTTTATGGTTCTGAGGCTGGCTGGTAGTCAGGTTTCCCAAACTCTGTGGTAGCTCTCAGAGAGGCTGATTCCATCAACAGCTGAAAAATATCAAAGTACTAACAGTGCCATGTTGCGCATGGATGGTGTCCCTGTTTGTACTTTTGGTGTGCATTGCCAAGGCCACATTGGAGCCCTTTGTTACGGCTTAGGGTTTATTAGTGGAAATGAGGCAATTGCTTGAGCTATAAAGCTCAAGCAATTGCCTCATTTCCACTAATAAACCCTAAGCCTAGTACTGAGCACTATCTATGTTTCGAGTCAAGTTCTTTAACAAATTTAAAAATGAATAAAGTAACAAAAACTATAAAACACAAAAAACCACAGTCATCACCAAGTTCGTTAAACCTATCATTCACTAATATTTGTGGTCTTCGAAGTAAATTTTCTTCTGTTGAGTCTTATCTCTCCAGACCTACTTGCTCTTTGTAAGACTAATTTGAGTTCAGCTGTCTCATCTTGTGTTGATAGTTATCTTCCTTTAATTCGTAAAGACTCCAATAGTCACATGCTTGGCCTGGGCATTTACATTCGTAAGAATTCAACCATTTGTCCGGAAACTAGGTTTGAATCCACAGACTACTCTTTTATGTGCTTTCGTTTAGCACCACTTCTCTCTATCACTTTTCTCTTTGTTTTATATTGCTCTCCCTTATCTCAAGGCTGCACTCTTCTTGATGTTATTTCTGATCATATTGACCAACCCCTCTCTCTTTATCCATCTGCCAATACTGTTGTTGTTGGTGACTTTAATGTTCATCACACTGAATGGCTTGGCACCAGTGTCAGTGATTCTGCAGGCATTAAGGCCCACAACTTTTGCCTTTCTCAATCCCAAACTCAAATAGTCAACTTTTCAACTCGCTTTCCAGATAACTCGAATCATTTATTTTCTCTACTTGACTTATATCTTGTTTCTGATCCTAGTTAGTGCTCAGTTTCTCCACACTCACCCTTAGGTGCCTCCGATCATGGTTTGGTCTCTCTAAAACTATTATCTCATTCTTCTTTATTATCAGAACCCCCTTATCATCATACATCTTACAACTACCTTAAAGCTGACTGGGACTCTTTCCGTGATTTTCTTTGTGATGGCCCCTGGGTAGAAATCTTTTGTCTTCTTATTGACAAATGTGCTTCTTACATAACTTCATGGATTCAGGCTGGAATCCTTTATTCCCTCTCGACAATTCCACTCTTCTCCATGGTTTTCCTCACATTGTGCTGAACCATTACCATTACTTACATATCTATCAGCAAAACAATTCTCCAGAAAATAGATGTCTGTTTATTACTGCTAGGAACCATTGTAAAAAGGTTTTGTATAACGCCAAAGCCCGCTATTCTCAGATCATGAAATCTCGTATTACATCACAGAAATTAGGCTCTCATAACTTCTGGAGAATCTTTAATAGTATTAATAATAAGGGCAAGTCTGTAATTCCACCTCTTTTGTATGGTTCAGACTTTGTCACCTCACCTAAAGACAAAGAATTGTTTGCTTAAAACTTTTTATCAATATCATCTCTTGATTCCACTAGTTGCGTTCTACCTGATAAAGCCGTCAAACAGGTTATCCATTGCTCGACATCCATATTATTCCAGCTTTTGTATCTAAAGTGATTTCCTGCTTAGACTCTTTTGCAGCTTGCGGCCCAGACAACATACCTGTTATAGTCTTGCAGAAGTGTTCTCTGGAGCTGTCTTCAATCCTTTTAAAACCATTCAACAAGTGCTTATTAGAGTCAATTTTTCCAGCCTGCTGGAAAGCAGCATCTATTATCCTTATTTTTAAAAATTCTGGAGAGCGATCCAATTCATCTAACTACCGTCCCATTAGTCTTCTTCCTATCATAAGCAAGATTTTTGAATCTTTAATTAACAAATACTTAATCTCTCATCTCTTATCTCATAACCTACTTTCTGATCATCAATATGGATTTCGATCTTCTTGTTCTATGGCTGATTTGCTAACAGTAATAACCGATAGGTTTTATAGCGCATTAGATAAAGGTGGAGAGGTTAAGGCCATCACTATTGACATTTTTAAAGCGTTTGATAAAGTTTGGCATGCTGGTCTACTCCATAAGCTTTCTTCTTACGGTGTATCTGGAAACATCTTTAAGACTATTGAATCCTTTCTTTCCAATCGTAGTATAAAAGTTGTCCTTGATAGACAGCACTCTTCTTCTTATTCTGTAACCTCAGGGGTTCCTCAAGATTTAATCCTTGGCCCTATACTCTTTTGAATTTACATTAACGATCTTTTAGATATTCTCACATCTAAGGTGGCATTGTTCGCTGATGATACTACCATTTATTCTTGTCACGATAAGAAGCCAACTCCCTCTGATTGCTTGCAGGGGGTATTCGAGCTTGAAAAGGATCTCACTTCTGCTTCAGTATGGGGCTCACAGTGGCTGGTGAACTTTAATTCAGATAAAACTCAATTTTTTTCAGCCAATCGTTATCGCAATAATTTAGACCTTCCTATATTTATGAACGGTAATGTACTCAATGAGTCATCTACCCTTCATCTTCTAGGATTAACTCTCACTTCTGATCTTTCTTGGAAACCTTATATCAAATCTATTGCAAAATTAGCATCTGCTAAAGTTGCATCTCTTTATCGAGTTCGACGCTTTTTTACTCTGGATTCTTTTCTCTATCTCTATAAATCTCAAATCCAACCTTGTATAGAATACTGCTGCCATATCTGGGTCGGATCTTCTAATGATGCCCTTTCTCTTTTAGACAAGGTGCAAAAACGCATTGTAAACATAGTTGCACCTGCTCTTGCAGCCAACCTTCAACCTGTCACATCGTTGTAATGTTGCTTCTCTTTCTCTTTTCTACAATTACTATAATGGGCACTGCTCTAAAGAGCTAGCGTCTCTTGTGCCATCTACTAAAAATTAATTCTCGTTTTACTCGTCATTCAATTAAGTCTCATCCTTTTTCTGTTACTGTTTTTAAGTGCTTCAAAAACTCTTATTCATTTAGTTTTTTTCCTCGAACATCAGTTCTTTGGAATTCGCTTATCTTGCTTTCCTGATTCATATAATTTGCAATCTTTAAAGTAGTCTGTCAATCGTTATCTTGCTCTACAATCTTTATCTTTTCTCAATAAGTAACTTCCAACACTAATTAGTGGTTGCTTGCAGCTTTGTTGGAAGCGAAGATGTTTAAAAAAAAAAAAAAATTATAGTGGAATTTTTAAAAAAGCAGCAGTTATAATGCAATTGCATAGTTTTTTTTACCTGTATGTTGAGTGAAGGTTTTTGAAGTTCAATATAAATATTCTCTTTGATTTTAAGTTTGTATTTAGAGGATGCTTTGTCAAGAATGGAGAATGAGTTAGTATATAAAAAATTTTACATCTAGGAGAGGATTAGAAATGTTTGTTAATGTGAGAGATTTTATTAAAGTTGAGTTTTTCTAAAACCCTTGTTGTTGGAAAATTTTTATAAGATACAAAAGGAGAAGAAAAAAAAATCTTTATTTTCTTTTCTTAATAAACTACATTTGAAATAAAATTAGTAGCCTAAACTAGAATAGATAGTAGGGCATTTGTTTTATTTGCAAGAAGTCTATAGTATGAAGACAACCCTATGCCTGACACTATACTAAATCCCATCAAACCCGGCTCTGCTGCAATCAACTTCTATCTTAACAATTTTTGGTTGCCCTCCCATCCAAAAATGGAAATTAAAAATGGGTGTCAAGATGTCTGGAACCTATTTCTACTCCTGATACACACACACACACACACACACACACACATATATCTTTTAAAATCATTTTCTTGTTATACAATTTTTATATTTAATGAGTTGGATTAATAAGGCAGCATATAAACTTTTTGTTTTAAATATATTTTGATGTTAATAGAAACATGTTATAATAAAGATATATTAACATCAAAATATATTTAAAACAAAAGTTTATATGCTGTCTTATTAATCAAATTCATTAAACATATATATATATATATATATATATATATATATATATATATATATATATATATATATATATATATATATATATATATATATACATATATATATATATAATTTACTTGTTTATTTAATAGTAATATAGTGATTAATATTTAATTATTAATTTATACAATTATATACAATTTATTTAAGATATTAAAAAAATGTAAGAAACTCAAGAAAAACATATGCTTATTTATAAAAATACCTTTCATTCCTAGTTCTCTAGCTGCTTGAATAGGAGTACTGCCTGCGCTATTATTTAACTTTGATACAACTGTATCAGCAGGATGAGATACTACAGCACAAAAAACTCCAGCAATGTATCCAGCTGCAAATGTAACAACTAACTGTTCTGCTTTTGAGCACTCATTTCGAGGTTTTGGAACAACATATTTATAAAGTCCCTCAACAGTACGTTCAAAACATGCAAACTTCATCATTGTGTAAGGTATTTGTCGCATCCAAAGTGGAGGCAGACCTTTATAAAACCTTTATAAAATAAAAAAAATTAATTACTTTAGTTACATTGATTATCATTATCATTAGTGTTTTATTAAAAAGATATTGCTAAATAGGTCTTACCCTGAAATGCCTTCTGATGTATAAATCTTAGAGAGCCCTTGTCCCAATGATCTAGCAAACCCTGGTGATGTCTGCATTCTAACTTTTACAGCTTCCATTGGAGCAAGAGCAATGTCAGCAAAAAATTCAGCACTTGCAGAAGCAGCAAGATAAAGGGAAGTTCGATATAGGTAAGATTTTTCTTCGCCAATCATACTGCTATAGATATTTTTAAAAAGTTCATAAAACCCAAACTTACACAACCCTTGCATAGAATAACCAATTAAAGTTGGAGCCCAGCCTAATGTGAGTCCGCGAAGCCCCTCTTCAGCGACAGTAACACGAAAACCATTGCCAATATTTTTATATTTTGCCCGATCTACCTAAAATTAAAATGACATGTTTTTCTTTTGATAGAGATAAATTATTAAAAAGTTGATACTAAAAATTACAATAATAAAATCATTTTTTAACTAGACTTTTTAAATTTAATTTGTTTATCCCCTATTATTACTATAGTATTGTAAAAATTTTTTTATTTTTCAAAACAATAAAAAAAAAAACAATAAAAAAATGTCCATGTTACCTGAATTCTGCATTTGACTAGATCAAGTGGAACAACTAAGGTGTGAGTCAAGCCACATGATACAATTCCACCAAAACCACACAGAGCATAGTATTTTAAAGATCCAAATTCACAACTATAATCTAAAATGTATAGAAAATATAGTCTATTTATATAAGCTATAACACCCATAATAACACCCGTAAATATGTTAGCTAGATCTCTGATATAACAAAATTAGTGCAACAAAAAAAAATTTATACAGCTTAAACCAATAATTTTAGTCAAACATTAGACACCGCAAAGAAATTATACAACTTATTATGAAGCAGTGTTGATATATATAGATAGATAGAGAAATATATAAAATATGAAAGACAATTTGATAAATATTTGTATGAAACTAAAAACCTTAAAAAAAAACTAATTACCTTCTGAAACAGCTGGCATTAAAGCTTGTCGTTGACTTTTAATTGATTTTAATTCGGAATTAGAACCACTAGTTGCAGAAACTGGGTTGCTAAATATATTGGACTTGGCTGTTTCAGCATACTTAGAAAACATTTTGCCAGATCGCTTAGAATTGTTCCTTTGAAATCACGTATGCTTCGCTTTGATCTGTAAAGACAAGACGCCTTTCACGTAAAATATTACAACATTCATACATGACCTAACGCTCCCAAATATAAAGCTAAACTTGACCACGTAATTATGTTTGTCAGTACGGGCGTACTTTTAAGAAGAGAGAAAATTTGTTTAAAGTTTTACTATGTTAATTATCTTTTAAAAATTTACGTACAAATATATAAACAATCATATTATAAAAACAATAAACTTTAAGATTTATAAAAAAAGAATGCTAAGGCTTGTAAAAGACCATAAGGTCTTAGAGGCTACATTCCTAAAAAAACTCGTCAACAAATATAAAAATTAAAAAATTTTGTTTTAATCGTTATGATTGAAGTGATCATAACAATTAATAACGGTAATAATATATTGCATCATAATACATTTTTTAGTTTAAAAGTTTCACTATTTCAGAAGCTTCTTAGACGTTCGGTATTTCATTTTCGACCACTGATCACCAATTTAAAATCCAAGGGTTTGCATTTTTCATAACATATTTTAAATTTTGTATTTGGCTTTTGGCAACCAATATTTCCTACTTTATTTAAATTTATGTGGATAGTCCCGCAGTTCAAACTGTTTTATAAATATTTTTATAATTGTCTGAAAATTAAAAAAATTCTAGAAAAATTTTCAATCACCGTTTTTTAAACCCCGTTACAACCCCCGCTTCAAACATTTACTAAACTGAGAAAAAAAAAGAGAGCTTGAAAAAATTGTTTAGTTAGTAAGTTATTTAAAAATTTTATAAGAACGCAATTTCTTTTTAAAAGAATATTTGTTGAGCTTTCAAAAACTCAATAAATAAATAATAAATAAACTATGCGTAGATTTTTTCAGGTGTGGATGCAGCGTTTTTCAATGCTTGAAATAACTAACTTCGAGACATGAAGCAAACTCCAAATATTTATATCTTTATACTTATGTCAAACAAAGGTGTTTTGCAAAAAATTGCGATGATTGAGGCCTGGGAACAAAAATACTCTTTAAAAAACCCAATGCCCCAAGTGTGAGAGCAACAAGTTGATAAAAAATTTTTTTTAACTATTCTCAAATAAATCTATATCCATCAACAAATTTTAAATTTCATACAATTTGAAAAAATCAATCATATAGTTAAAATGAATGAATTATAATTCATTGACAGATTTTAAATTTCGCTTAAAAATCTTTTAGTGTTTAAAAGTTATGAACATGTAAAATTTACAAACTCTTTTTTTTTTTTTTTTTTTTATAATTTAGCCGTACAAATATTTACAAGTTCCGTAATTTAAAATATTTAAAAATGGCAAGGACGAGAAGAAGACGGGATTGTCTTATCACCAAGTCCCTTGTTTGTCTAGACATTTATATAAATACATGGTAACTAAAATGAAAATTAAAAAATTAAGAAAAAAGCAAAAAATTACAAAGAAGTTTATATAAAATGCCAAATAGTTTAATAGTTCAAAGTTTTGAAAGATATTTTTTCGATTTTATTTTTTGAAAGAAAAATTTAAAAGTTCATTCAGAAAAACAAAAATATCAAAAAACAAAAAAACATGAAAAAAGTAAACGTAAAATTTAATTTACAGTCTGCTCTTATAAAGTGTAATATATTAATTCCTCAAAAACAAATTACAAAATATTAATATAAAAAATTAAAACTCAAAAAAGATTACTTTTTTTATTTTTCCTCTCTCTCTCTTATTTAAGAAAACTAATAAATTTATTTAAACTAATGAAATCTAAAAATGCTAAAAATCTTTATAAGTACTTTTTTTATAATATAACAGACTGTAATACCTATATAAAATTAAAGAATTTAGACCTTCCAGACAAATAAAGTATGCATTAGTAGATAGTTTTAATATATAATATTTTTATAGATAGATTTAAAAATAATTATCTGTTTGTTCATTATTTAAAAGTAATAGTTTTAGTTTTTGTTTAAACTGATCAAGAGTTTTGAGTGTTTTAATATCATTACTGATTATCTTATTCCATGCATTAGGTCCTCTAACAGTTATTGCAAACTTGGTGGAGTCGTATATAGTTTTGGGTTGAACAAAGTTGTTGTTAGAATATTTAGTTACGTATTTGTGTTGAATTTTATTAAATAATGGTTTGAATATATTTGGTATTGAATTGTTATTAATTTTATACATAAAAATCAGAAGATGATATATATTTATTTGGTACACATTTAGTATTTTTAGATTGTAAAACAATGGTCTTGAATGTGAGAGGCGGTGTGCATTTGATAATAATCTAATTGCATGTTTTTGTTTGCTAAATAGCTTTTTTATCTTTGTTTTATTGGTGCTACACCAAGCAATGTTTGCATAATTAAGATAAGAATGTATAAATGAGTAATATATGTATTTCAAGCAGGATTGATCTAAGAATGGTTTTGCTTTATAGAGTAATCCAATATTTTTAGAAATTTTATTTTCAATCATGTTTATGTGGTCTTTCCAATTTATGTTTTCATCTAGAATTACACCTAAAAATTTCATCGAACATTCTCTTTTTACGATGTAATCTCCAATAATAAGTTTTGGAAGTTCAAGAGGAATTTTTTCTTTTTTATGGAGGCGATGAAAAATAGTATATTTAGTTTTAGTTAAATTAATTGAAAGTTTGTTCATATTTAACCATTCGGTTAGTTTTAGGAGTTCAATGTTGACCGTTTTAAATAATGCTGTTATATCACTATGAGAATAAAATAAATTTGTGTCATCAGCAAATAAGATAGAATCTAGAATATTAGAGGCTTTGCTTAAATCATTAATATAAATTAAAAATAAGAGTGGTCCTAATATAGATCCTTGAGGAACGCCGCAAGTAATTGTCATATTGTTAGTTTTTTTATTGCCGAATGAAATATACTGTTTTCTATTAGATAAGTAGCTTTTAAACCAAGCTATGTTAATATTTTTGATACCGTAGTTCTCTAATTTTTTAATTAAAATACTATGATCAACTGTGTCGAACGCCTTACTTAGATCTATGAAAACACCTAAAGTGAACTTGTTTTTATCAAAAGCTTGAAAAATAATCTGAACAAGATGAAGAATTGCATGATCAGTAGAGTGTCCTGTTTTGAAGCCAAATTGTTTGTTATATAGAATATTATTTTTTTCTAAATATGAATATAATTTGTTATACATAATGCGTTCTAGTATTTTTGAGAAGCAAGGAAGAATGGAAATAGGTCTATAATTAGAAATATTAGTATTATCTCCAGATTTAAAAACTGGTATTACCCTTGCAATTTTAAGTTTTTTTGGAAAGATTCCTTGTTTAAACGAAAGATTAAATATATGCAAAAGGATTTTTTTAATATAGAAGATACATTTAATTATGACATTACTGCTAATGTTATCAACTCCTTGTGATTTGTTTAATTTTAATGAAAGAACAGCATCTAATAACTCTTTTTCGGTTAACTCCGCATTTTCCATTATTGATTTGCTAGGAGTCAAGTATTTCTCCTTGTTAAAATCACTGTGTTTTAGTTTGGATGCTAAATTTAGACCTGCGTTGACAAATACGTCATTAAACGTTTTAGCAATTAGAGATTCTTTTGTAATATCTTGATGATTGTAATTGAGCTTTTTTGGATGTCCATTTAACATAATTGTTTTTTTTCCAATTATTTCCTTAATGACTTGCCACGTTTTTTGAGTATCACCTTTGAATTTTATTATTTTATTTGAGTAGTATAACTTTTTTGAAAGTTTTATAACTGATTCAATGTGACTTTTATATTTTTTATACCTTAGTTCATTTACATAGGTTCTTTTTTTCAGAAATACTTCATACAAACGTTGTTTTTTTTTAGACGATTTTATTATTCCTGGTGTAATCCAGGGGTTTATAAATGTTTTAGTTTTAATAATTTTTGTTACCACCGGGAAAGCTTTATCATAATGATCTTTGAATATCCGAAGAAAACTGTTATAAGCAGTCTCTGCAGTTTGAATTTGTAAAATATCGTCCCAGTTTTCAGAAAATAAAGAATTATTAAAAAGTTCCATAGAAATGTCATTATATACTCGATTTGTAATTAATATTTTTTTGTGAGGGGTGTGTTCGACACTTTTATGTGCAATTATAAATATTGGGAAATGATCCGATATATCGGATATTATTATTCCAGTTTTTATTTTGTTTTTTGTATATTCATTAATTATTATTTGATCGATTGAAGTTGCGCTATTTCTAGTAATTTGTGTTGGTTTATTTATAGTTGGAATAAATCCATTTTGAAATATGATGTTCATAAAATTTTTAACATTTTTATTTGTGTCGTAATCAAGCACATTATAATTAAAATCTCCCACAAAGAACTCTCATTTTAACGAAGGCGCATGTTTTGCAAAATCCAAACTTTTGAACGTTAAAACAATATTAAATGAAGCTTAAAACCTATCCACAAATTTAAATTTAGTATAAAATGTTAAAAAAAAAAGTATAATATTAACTGATTGCCTTTAAATTAAAGGACATCATTGTTTCCTGGCTCCAATCACCACTATTTTTGAAAAATATTATTTTTTATATAAAGGGTCGTCCATAAATTACATCAGACTCTAGAGGGAAGGAGTAGTGATTTTATGACGACTCTCATAAGGGACTTTTTATTAAATTATTACAACGTTGTGACGAGAGGAGGGGGGAGCTGGTAAGGGGTCAAAAACGGTCGAAAATTGCGTGACGTAATTTATAGATGTCTCCTAAACTTGGATTCAGTTTAGTTCTAATTCATTTAAGAAAAAACAAAAATAAATCAAAATCCTGTTTTTATATTCCCATAACATTTTTTCAATAATGTTTTTTTCTTTGATGTAATTAAACTATATAAACGTTACTATATATTATGTATATTACAAAATATATAAATTTATGAAAGATGATTTAATTCATATATATATTTAAAACCATGTTTCATAAATCAAAGTAGTATACAAAGTAGTAGTTTGACTTTAAACGTTGCGTCACTGAACTTGTATTTTATTTCCAGTATATTTGTAACATGTAAAATAAATTACAAGTTCAACAT